TGATGGACCCCCAGAACATGTGTACTCACAGCAAGTCTAGCAAGCGGCACTCGGCGGAAGACAGCAACCAGCAATGACCGTCGATGCTCCAGCGGCCAGTATTGGACCACGTGGACGGCTGTGAGCGCGGACGCTGAAACAGCATGTCTTAGTGGGGCGAGATTTAAAAGAAGGCATGCGGCTCATGAGCAGACACTTCGTAGGATGGATCTTTGAAGCGGCATCGGAAGAGGTAAAGTAGGAGGATGAGGCCAGTCTGGTTCCAAACATTGGGCCACTCGCGGCCTGGGGCCAAAAATGGAATGGCCTCGGGTGGGGGCACTGTCGACTCTAACCGTGAGGTATTCTTGTTTCCTCTGCTCACGAGACCGAGCACGCGCCATAGTGAGCGTCACTGAGCGGAGTGGGGAGAACAATCTGTCTCCACCTCGGAGCAGGCAGCGCTGGCACAAGCACGTGGGCACATACGCGCCCAGCACACCGCCGAGCACTTGAAACGCCGAAGAAAACCCTACACTCCTGGTGTCTCACGAAACTCCGGCACACATGGATGGCGTCTGAGACTTCGTTGCGTCCCTTCACGGAAGTTGTGACACTGATTGTCGCGTTCCACTGCTCACACAAAACACTCCTGGGGCACAGGGTTTCACAATTGAGTCGGGCAGGGCCCGGTCGGGAAAAGATGTGGCTTGTAGGCCCTACCATGGGGGGGTCGCCCCAACACCACACGGGTAAGACGGCCCCATCACTGCCCATGACGGCCAGTGGGCGGCTTTATGACCCGGAACACTGGAATGCTAGCCAGCGCGACCCCGAACAATGAACTCTTGCATACTTGATGTGCAAAGTGTGGATTGCAAGCTACGACATGCGTTTTGTGTATGGTGCAGTATGTGCGGTCTAAGCTATGTCGCGAAATCTATGCTGTGCAAGCTATTTCAGGCAAGCTATGTGGTACCATCATTGTGGTGCAGACTAAGCTATACGGTGCGAGCTATGTGGTGCAAGGTACGCGGCAAAAGACGCGTGATGCAAGCTAGGTGTTGCGAATCATGTGGTGCACGCTATGCGATGCAAGCAACGTGCCTAGGCGGTGCATGCTTTGTTCTCTTGTGTGTGCGGTACGATCTGTGCGGTACGAACATATTGTACGACGGAGGCTGGGTGGTGCAAGCTGTGTGATGCAAGCTACGTGTGATGCTGTCTGTGTGTTGCAGGCTACGTGGCTCGAGCTGGGTGGTGCTCCCAACAGACAGGGCGACCACGAGAGGCCCAAACGGGCGGTCATCCGGAGAGACCTCACCACACCCGCCCGACGCACGGGACGAGACGCCCACGAGGCGCCCCACGGGCGGGCGCCAACTGGGCACCTGGCAGAACCCCACCCGATCCATCCAACTCCGTGAGAAGAGAAATAAGAGTCCCATACAGTCGGCCCTTATCATAAGGATACGCGAGAAGGATGCAAGGGCCTTGGAAGGCTATTTCGAAGCTTCTCGAACGGGGCGCGGCAAGCGAAAGTGGCCAAGGATGGGCCGAAGGGGCAAGCATGCAAGGATACCCCTTGGGAAGGTTGCCCACCCGTTTTAGTTATGCGGGTTGACTGCAAAAGTCCCCTAGGTGCCCGCACCGCGTTGTAGTACAAACGCCAGGCACCGAACTTCTGTGACGAACCCCATCATCGCACACGGCCTGTGTGGGCCAAGCCGGACGGCGGGATCATCGGGAGCGGCAAAGAGGGGGGTGTCGAAGAGGGGGGTGTGCAAATCATGACCGGCGGCATGTGCGCGGCCCAGCGGGCGGGCCAGGGACATAATGAAATAAGAAGAGGCGCCATGAGATCTGGGGAAATATCATGGCCCACGCCATGATATCCACCCCCCCCCTAGTCATCACCCCCCTCTTTTCCGCCCCCGAGATCATTACCCCGGCCCAGGATACCAAGAGGGGAAAGACGGTCCCAACACTACCCATAACGCCCAGGGGACGGCTCCAAGGCCCACACTACCAGAAGAAATGCAACAAATGCATAAACATAAACCTTCGGCTCTCCGCGCGGATCACTTGGATCTGCGCTGGACTCCCCTGACCTGGCGCGCAGAGCGCGCCAGGGGCGGCGCCGGAGGCGCCGCCGGGGGGGGGGGGGCCCAGCGCGGATCCAAGAACTCCGGGCGGAGCGCCAAAAGTCTATGCTGGTGCCCTTCTTTCTGATTCGAATCTTACGGGAGCACACGCACACACCAGGTGCCCGAAAGACTTCTGGACGAGCTCGGCCATCGCACAGCGCGCGCTCCGTCGAGAGAGAGGCGCGCCGCAGGCCAAGGACCGCTTCTGCAAGAGATGACCCGCCATGCTCCGGTGGCCACCGCGGGGCCGCTCGGTCTCTGTGGGGGCGCAGGAGGGCGGTTGTGGCAGCGCGCGCCTGGGGCCCTTGCCCGAGCGAGAAACTGCAGAAGAGAGACGAGCGCACTCCACGACTCGCAAAGGGACTGCTCGCAAATCTGTTCCTCCTCCCTCCCTCCCTTCTCCTCCTCCTCCTCCTCCTCCGCGGAGGAGGAAGGAGGAGGGAGGAGGAGGAGGGAGGAGGAGGGAGGAGGAGGGAGGAGGACGATCCGCCGCGGGGGATCCACGATCTATTACGTCGAGGCGAACACGTGTGTCTCTGATGTGTTGCGAGCAGGCGCTTCGCGAGTAGTGGCGCGCTCCCGGCGAGAAGAGGCACGTGGCCAGTGAGCAGAGAGAGAGACGTGCTCGCAAGCTGGGTGCTCGAGACGAGGCAGGAGGAACAGAAGGGCGAGGCGCCGGTTCTGGGTCCCAGCGTCGGGAGGTGGGCAGGAGGACCAGAAGGGCGAGGCGGGTTCTGGATCCCAGCGGGGCTCTCGCGGTATGGGGCCATTTGCATGGGAACGCCTCAGAGGGATATTTCCTCCATGCTGCAAGTTGGTCGTGCTGCCATTTGTCCCTGCTTCCTAGAAGGAGCAAACGCCACGCCGAGCGCCGCTGCGTCGCTAATCTGTGTCGACCTTGAAACAGGCAGCGCTGGCCCATGCACTGGGGTAAAGACGAGCCCAGCACACGCATACCGCCGAGCCCTGCGAAAGTCACACATGTGGACATCGGCGGCGCGCCGAGGGTGGAAGTGAGATGGCAGGCCTTCTCGAAAGGCGGCGGGACTTCTCAGAAATCCTCCGGCGTGCGAGCTTGAAACAGGCAGCGCTGTCATGGGCACTTGGCCACACGCGCGCTCAGCACACCGCCGAGGACTCCAAGAGTCGAGAGAAACCAGACTCCCCTTGTGTCTCGCAGAGCTCTCTCACACGCGGATGGCGTCTGACATTTCGTGGCGCTTCTTGACAGGAATTCTGATGATTGTCGCGTCGCGCTCCACTGCTCACACACAGAACACTCCCTCTGCTGCACGGGGTTCTGCATTTTTGTCGGCGGTGGACAAACCTCCCTTTAATAAACCACCCTGTAGTGAAAACGACCTGGGACTGAAACCAACGGACCTGGACCCGCAAAAGTAACAGCCCTGACGCCCTCTCGCGAACCGAAAACGGCCAATTCGCGAATCGACGTGTCAGGGCAGGAGGTCCATCATCCTGCGATTTCGAGTCGGCAGAAGCCGTGAGCTTGTGGGCCCCACCAATGGGGGTCGCTTCGGCACCAGTCGGGCAAGACGGCCCCAACACTGCCCGTGACGGCTACGGGCCGGCTCCCCAAGGCCCAAGCCACAGGCAGGCCAGCTGGCCAGCGTGGACCCCGCACAGCAGGCGCTTGCACACTCGGCGTGCAGACTGTGGCTCGCAAGCTCTGCACCATGCGTCCCGTGTGCCCAGAGATCCGACGCTCCGAACAAAATCGGAGCAGGCGGTTTTCGGCTGTGTTCGGCCTCTGGGGGCCCTCGCCGGACCTCGGGAGCGCAAAAAAATCTACCCAGGACGAAACACCGGCCCTGGGGAAGTGGTCCGGACCTCTGGGGCCCACGCATCAAAAAATAGAGCAGTCGGATGTCTGGGTGTGGTGCAATCGGTGTGATGCCCATGAGGTGCAAGCCGCTTTGCGCAAGCTGTGTGGCACCGTTCACGTGGTGCGTGAGCTGTGCGGCGGGAGCCATGCGCTGCAGGCTATGGTGCCACGCGACGCATGCTCAAGATGCGTGGAACAAGACAGAAGTGCGATGAAGGCTAGGTTGGACCCCAAACAGCGGGCCCAAAGCAGTACGTAGGCTGATTGGCCAACTCGGACCCCAAACAGCAGCCTCTTGCACACTCGATGTGCTCCCGCAGGACACTCCTGCCGCGGCGCGGGGTTCCGCACCGAAGCCAAGCGAGGCCCAGTCGGGAGAGGCCGTGGGCCGAAAGGCGGGCTGCAGTGGAGGCCAGTTCACAGGAAACCCTTTCGCAAGAAACCCAACCAAGAGACCCCAGGACGTCCATTGGTTTTTGGCGTGGGAACGTCACGCTTTCTATCGCAGAACCATCGAAACCGAAGAAAACCAGGGCACCCTGGAGGCAAGCAGGGTGTTTCTTGGCATGCGCCCCCACTGGACTCCAACACCAGATGGAGGGAAGACGGCCCACAACGCCCAGGGGACAGCTCCGAGATCCACGTTACTGGAAAAACACCAGGTGCGCAACAGATTACTGACGAGCTCTGCCATCGCACAGTGCACGCTCCATCGAGAGCAAGGCGCGCGGCAGGCTGCGTTCAGCAGGCAGCGCTCGGCAAGAACCCTCGATGTTCCAGCAGCCACTTCGGGACCGCTTGGCCTGCTGTGATCGCACAGGGTCTTAACAACAGGTACTCGGAGCCCTTGTCTAGAGCGATAAATGGAAAGCCCATGAGCAGAGAGAAACATATTCGCAAGCTGGCGTTTTCCAAGCTAATACGAGGAATGAAGGGCGAGGCCGGTTCTGGATCCCAGCAGCGGGCCACTCGCGGCATGGGGCCATTTGCATAGGGAAGCCTCAGAAGGATACATCCTCCGTACTTTAAATCGGTCTTGCTGTTTTTTCTCTGCTCACGAGCGGGAGGCAACTGCCGTGGTAAGCGTCTGAGCTGCGCAACGAAATCACACAATTCAGACCTCGAAGAAGGAAACCCTGGAACCGGCATGAGAGGGCATGTGCCCCGCGATTCCGCCCAGCGCTGCCATGAGCAACTGCTACGCGCTACAGACACAGACCCTCTGGGTGTTTCTCTGGTTAACCCAAAAGGGGGTCCACCCGAAAGGGGGTGGTGGAATAGATTCGGAGCAATTGTAATGCAAATGTGCTACGGCGGAAAATTATACTGCCTTGTATTGCAACGAATGTCTTGTACGCGAAAATCCAAACATACATTTGCGCCCCGGAATGTACTGCACACCCCAAATCTATCTCATTCCACAACTCTATTCCACCAAATCTATTGCACCACCCACTTGCAGCTGGACCCCCTTCTGGGTCAACCAGAGTTCCGCATAGCTCCGCAAACGAGAACGAGGATAGACACTAAAACGTCCTTGTTGCGCCACGGCGTCAGATGATTCAACGAGTTGTATAGGACCTCAAGTCGCCACTGAGATTTCCACGTGCGAGCGTCAGGGAGTATTTCCCGATGCGAGCTCGGGTAGTGGTAAAAACAGCAGGCTGCTTGCGAATGTGAAAGAATCGAGGCAGCGCATAATACACGACATGAAGTGCACGTTGCGCGCAAATTAAAAATATATCGCTACAATGTAAACATCGGAGCGGCTTCCAATCCTGCGTGATTCCGGGAGGCCTGGGGGGGGGGCTTGCTCAGGATGGTGCTACCAGTGACGGCGCCCAGGTGATGAGACATCCCTGGGCTAGGCATGGGGCTTGTTCAGGGCAGCGAGGACCATCCAGGGGACCGTCTGTGCGCAACCCTAGGCCTTGCCAGACATCCGACGTCATGCGTTTTTCCGTGACAAGGGACCCCAGACGTGTCGACGGCATCCAAAACAGTTGCGTCCCATCCCTGACAGTTGTTCGGCGGCCAAGGGACCAAGAAACAGCCTCAGGACGCCGAAACTCTCGGGCGAAGACACCTCGAGCTCATGTGGCGAAGAAATTCTGAACTCCCCCCCCGGAGGTCTCGAGGGCTATCCAGACATCTCCGGAGGCCCCCTTCAGCCCACGGAGTCCCCGAAGCCAGCCACCAGCCAGCCTTCGTTCGGGCATGTCCTCCTACAGGCGAATTGTGGACGAAAAACGAAAACGACTCAACAAATATGCAAAGATAGCCAAATACAGTAGACAAATCGTCCCCCTTGTATTGTTTGACTACTTTTGAATTTTCCTCCTGCACAGGGACATGCCCGACTTAAGCCAGTCTCCAGAAGCAGAAATGGTCTTGGAACAAACCACGAGGAGAAGCGCCAGCACTGAAGCCTGCCGACGCACCCAACCCGTCTACAACGGGCGGCCAGAGCCTCCTCCTCCTCCTCCTCCAGGATCAAATTGTGAAGCATGGTGAGGTGGCAGGGAACGCCACGTGATGCGAAGGCCACATGGGAGGCCCGCGCGCTGCCCGACCCACGGGAGACGGACCGACACGGACGACCACGGGCGGGAACGAGGTGGAACATGCCGGGAGAGAGTGGAGGCGGGAGCGCGGGGGAGGGAGGGAAAGGAGAAGCTGACACCCCGACAATCTGGCGGGCATGGTGGCGAGGCGGCCGCCGTGCGGACGCCCAGGCGGGGCCCTGTCGCGTCGGGCCCAGAGCCGAAGGACGACGGCGTGCCGAGATCGACGCGGCGGCGCCACTCCGCCGCACCCGCGGGGGCCGTCAGCTGGACCTCCCGGGAGTTCACGAACCTGGCGACAGTGGCGCAGTTGCCAGCCCGACGGGAGGGCGAGGTCCCGCGTGGATGCGCGTGGGGCACCACTCCGCCAGGCTTCGGGGGCGCCCACAGATCTGGCGACAGTGGACAGGCTGCCAGCGAGCCCCGACGTGGAGGATGAGGTCCCAATTTGGATCTGCGTGGGACAGAACTCCGCTGGACTTCCCCGCTGCTTGCGAAAGAGAATGTGTTTTAATCCCCTCCCCGTAACGTCCGTAACGGGGGGGGGACGACAACGACGACGACGACGAAGACGACGACGACGACGACGAGGACGAGGGTGAGAACGAAGGCAATGACGAGGACGACGACGACCGCATTTGATGGTCTCCAGAAGCCTCAGGAGGTCTCCGGAGGCATCTGGAGGCGTCTGGAGGCCCTTTGTGCCTCTCGGAGGCGACGAGGACGTCGACGACGACAAAGACGAGGATTGCGACAAGGACGAGGACGACGAGGACGAAAAGGACGACAAGGACGAGGGCAAGGACGATGACGACGACGACGACGACGACGAGGACGAGGACGAGGCCGAGGACGACGACGGCCGCCCGTGAAGGTCCCCAGAAGTCTCTGGAGGCCATTGGAGGCGTCTGCGGGCCCTTCGAGGCCCTCGTAAACGACGACGGCGATGACGGCGAGGAGGACAAGAAGGACGACGAGGACGACGACGCTCACGATGGGGAGGATGAGCACGAGGACGAGGACGACAGCAGCGGCCGCCCCTGAAGGTCTCCGGATGCTTCAGGGGATGGAGGCCTCCAGAGGCGTCTGCAGACCCTTCGAGGTCCTCGGAGAGGACAAAGACGATAACGACGACGACGACGACGACTTCGACGACGACGAGGACGGGTGCGAGGACGACGACGACGAAGTCAACGACGACGACGACGACGACGACGACGACGACGACGACCGCGACGACGACAAACGCGACGACGACGACGACCGCGACGACGACGACGAAGTCGACGACGACGACGCCGCCGCCGCCAACGACGACGACGACGACGACGACGGCGATGACGACGACGACGACGACGAAGGCAACGACGACGACGACGACGAAGGCCACCTCTGGAGGCGTCTGGAGGCGCTGCGATGCCTTTCAGCACCAATGCTTGTGAGCACGGCGCCATCTCTGTGGGGGACCCGGCAACACTCACCGTACGTCTGTTACCGTTCCGTTACGGGGGGGAGGGGGGGGGGCGAAGTCGACAACAATCTCTCGAACGCAAGTGTCAGCCACCGTCAAGGAGGGCGAGGCCCCGCCGGGATCTGCGTGGGGCACCGCTCCGCCCGACCTCCCAGACGCCCACCAAAAGCGGCGACCCGTGGCGCAGCTACCAGCCACCCACAGGGAGGGCGATGCCCTGCACGGATCTGCGTGGGACACCGCTCCGCTGGACCTCCAAAACGCCATCGAAAATGGCGACGATGGCGGAATTACCGACCACCCAGGGAGGGCGAGGCCCCGTCTGGATACCCCCGCTGGGTCGCGACAGCTTCCCGCACATCAGCCCCTTTCTTCCAGAGGACGGCAGGCAGGAGGGAGGAGGTGGGTAGGAGGCTGAGTATCGTTGAACCGATCCACATCCCCCCAGCGGCGTGGCCTGGGCCCCACTGCCGATTCCCCCCCCTAGATGGGAATACAGGCCGTTGCCTTCGGGTTTCGAGGGGTGTATCCCCAAGTGGGGTGGCAATTTGGTGGTTGTCTGTAAGGGGATGGGGATGACGATGGGCATCAGCAACGATTCCCAACACAGGAGGGTATAGGGAAACGCACAACGCCGGAGGCCTGGGCAGTCATGCTCCTCAGAGCCTGAGCCGCAGGAGCCGCACCTTCGTGCCCCCCGGGCCCCACGAGTACCCGACCTCCTGGACGAACGCGCAGTCCTCGGGCTTGAGGAGGACGAGGAGGACGACGGGGAGGAGGACGACGGGGAGGAGGACGGCGACGGCGACGGCGAGGGCGACGACGACGACGAGAAATGCGACGACGAGGAGGATGGGAGGGGGCGCTGCCGACAACGACGACGGCGCTGGCGGCGGCGGCAACGAAGACGAGGACGATGAGCACGCTGGCGACGACGTGAACGACGACGAGGGCGACTGCGACGAGCAGGCTTGCGTCGAGAAGGACGACGAGGACGACACCAATCCAGCATTCGTGGGGCACTTTGGGCTCCACGAGCACCCGACCTCCTGGACGCGCCCGCCGTCCCTGTCCGGGGGAGGGGGACGTGCGACGACGGGCGGAAGATACAGAGGGGGGTGATATGAGATGAGATGAGATGAGACCAATCGCGAAGCGAATCATAATATGAATTAATGACCACGAGCCGCCCTCTCAGCCTTGCCGAGAACCTTGCGCCATCGTCCACAAACATGCGGTCGAGATAATCTCTCCGCGTCCTGGTGAGAAGTCTGGGCGGATCGTCCTTGGTACAGCAGATACCTGCTGGGCCGCGGAGGTGAATCTGACTATGGCACCCGCAAAATCCACAAAACCAGAAAAACAGACCTTCGTGGTAACATCTGTAGCAGAGCCACGACATCAAGACCAGCGTTTAGAACAGTCCATGAGGACGTGGCTGGAGTTAAGCAAGGCCACGACCGCAGGAGGCGGGGGAGGAGCAACGGCAGCAGCAGCAGCAGCAGCAGCAGCAGGGCGCCGAACCTGTTCCCCTTCGCCCTTGGTAGACCGGAGCGTAGCACGAAGCAGTCTTTCACGAATGAGCCGAACCTCGGCCTCCACTTGGAAAAGCCTGGCACGTTCAGACAGGTTGACAGCGACGAACTTAGCGGCCACTCCAACTAACGTGTGCCTCGCAGGGCTGCAGGAAGCTTGGTCCATAACCCCCGTAGAACTTTCCTGATTGTCAGTGGCAAAGGCCACGGGGCCTCTGGAGAATTCGAACGCTGGAAGACAGCAGCACAACACGCCCTTAGCAACAGAGTGGTGCCGACCAGGGAGGGAACTGGCCGCGCAAAAACTTCGGCCGCGTCGCAACATCAGGCCTGCAAGCGATGCAAGCGCCAACGCGCCTGAGCCAAGGGCCCTGAGGATCCTGCCCCCCCGAGGCGTCCCCAACAAGGAGCAAAAGGGGATTCTGGGCGGCCAAAGCCCAGACGTGTTGTTTCTAGGTCGTCGTTCTGGTGGCTACGAATCCCAAATGCCTCTGAAGCAGGTTGGCTAACATCGACTAAATCTCTCGGGGGCAGGCCTCGAATCCAATAGCATTCGAGGCTTTCCGCTTGGGCGATAGCCAGTGGTACTACATGATCAGAGGCGGCGAAGGCGGGGGAACTGCTGCATCGACGCAGCCACGCGCGATATAGCATAGCGTTGGCTCCTCCTTGAAGCGCGGACACAAGGCCGAGGCGCTGCTGTGCACTTCGTGCTGCCTGGCTGCAGGCCGCGCCCCACCCGCGGAAATAATGTGGAGTAGCTCGTGCAGCTGCTTCCCCTGAACAGGCACCTGCTCCAACTAAACAAATCTGTCCTGACTGAAAAATTACCGACGCCATTGCACGCCTCCGCAATGGCCACGGGTTGCGTCGCGCCACGTGCGCAGGTGCAGCGCATCAGTGAAATGCTCGATGAGCTCCGTAGCCTGGTCTATGGCAATGTGGGTCGATTTCGACGGTGGCCCCTTCAATCGAAACTTCACGCTCGTGAGCTCACGAGCCCACGGCGGACTGCGGCAAGTCATCGGCCCGCAATATGTCTGACAGCGTCGGGCGCATGCTGGCGAGCCGCCCCGTCTCCAGGTTGGTCGCGCATCGTGCGACACGAGCGCCCGATGTCTCTCCTCGACGATACTTCTGGCGGCCTGAAAGGCCCTGGATACAGCGCCACTTTGATAGAGAATCCTCGGGCGCGCGCACTGAAGCTCCACGCTAACATGGAGGTTTGGGAAACCATGCCGAGACGCACCTTGAACAAGCGTGTCCCGTGCCATCATATCATAAAAACTCTGGGTGCCCATCAGAGCGCGCCCGCTGGCCACCTTCCGCTCGATGCGCAGTTTTTCGCCCGGCGCCCGCATGAGGGCTTCCCGCAACGCGGAATTGCCCCTCGCTGCCGCGCCGCAGGGCGGCTGGCTGAGATGGGCCCAACGCTGCGCGGCAGGCTCACGCCCCAACGAGCCGCGCCCTACAACTCACGCAGACGAGGCCAATCACACGAAACTGCCTGGAAACCATCTTCGGCAAAAATATGCACGGGGCCCCCCCGTCAACTGCCATGGCCGCGTCCGACGCGCTTCGAACAAAATGAACACCTCTGCCAACTCCTTGAGCGCAGGCGCAGGAAGTCTCTCAAGGCCCAGCGGGGAAAGGCGATCGATACCTTGCCCCGCTCTAGCCTTCATGGCTCGCACGGCCTTCCGAATGTCATCGGCGCCTACAGGCTCGAGCGGTTCCTGCTGCGCCCGCGCCTTGATCGCGCCAAGAACTTGCTGAGTGCCATCGATGCTCTGATGCTTTGCCGAGGCCCATGGCTCGCGCTACTTGGCGGCTCGATGATCCACCAAATGAAAGGGGTGAGTGAGAAACTCGCACTTGCCGAGAACGGACTGATATTCCTCCTGATAAGATCCCCTCGTAGCTCAGTTGAGCCAGGGATGAAGATGACCCAGGGCTGAGCCCTGCCTGCGACGCGTGCAAGCTCGAGGCCGCCGTTGTCCAGCTGCAGAGGGCCGACGAAGCGAATGCTAGCCAGCATCTCGAGCCACGTAGCCCATGATGAGGCTGCAGGAGCGGCGCCGACGCACTTCTGAACACCGCCGGGACAGTGCGCACTCAGCTCGACAGCCGCCTCGGCAAGACCCTCAAGCTGAGCGCGACCGCTGCCCCGTCAAAGATGTTGAACTGCTTTGCTGACAATCCCCCCCCCCCCCCCCCCCCTCACCCCGCCCGCCGCCACCGCCGCGCGCGCGCGCGCCCCACCCCACACCCCACGCCAGTTGGCGATCACATCCTTGAGCGGCAGATCGCGGAAGTGCTCGGACTGACGATCGACCCGAACCTCCACCCAAGGCCCAGTGGCCCTAGACGGCGTGCCAGAGCCGCGCCCGTCCCAAACGCCATGACGCTCGCAATGGACGGCCCCGACCGCTGAAATTCAGGCGGCGACAGCCCCGCTCGCAGGAAGATCATGGGCCGGCAACGCGATGCGCAATCGACTGTCGCACGGGTTCCCAAACAAGGTGGAGCGCGCGCATTTGAAAACCAGAATTAGCTCGAGCCGAACATTAAACGGACGGGGTCGAGTTCCAAGGCAGGAGAAGCTGCAGGCACGGGAAACGAGACGTTGGGAGGAGACCCAAGGGCGGGAGATGGATGGTCTGCCTGGGGGGCCTCGGTCGAAATTGGTCGGTCCTCCCTGACGGAGGTCTCGACATTTTCATCCGTGGCTGCCCCAGGAGCTCGGGCTAGACTCGCCATGCGAATGCGCGAGGGCGCCCACCTCAGCAGAGCCCTTCAAGGGGGGCGGGAGGAGCGAGGCCGACGAGGAGGGAGGACGAAGGGGCACTTGGAAATTGAGCCCGTCGGCCCATGAAACCACCTCCTCGCCCCAGTGGCCTGCGTGACAAACTGCCAGGAGCTCGAGAGCGTCTGAGTCATGGGGGCCCTGGGGGGGCGAAATTTAAGCCGAATCGTCAGAAAAGGTCTACGTGCAAGGCCTGAGAATGGATTCTCGCGCGAAATGCCTCGACGAGTGAGAAGCTCACGTCTGGCTACACACGACATATAACCCTCGGTGGCCTGAGTGCGTGGCCGAGAGACTTGGGCCAATCGCTCAGGCAACGCATCGCAAGAATACGCGGTCGGGCCGACGCTGAGACGAGAGAGAAGTCGGAATGCGAGGGCCCCGCGGAGCCTACGCAGGTGAAATCTAGGGGGGCCTGAACCACAGAGTGGCGCCTCGCTTGTCACAATAATCCACGCGTTGATGCTCAGACGGGGGAACGTTGACCCCGCCCCGATACGATCCAGGACAACTGCAGGGCCGGGCCTGCAAGAGGGGATCTAAACGAAAAAACTTGGAGAAATTATCTATACGACCACCCTGCGGGCGATGAGGAGGTTGTGTGGGGGGGGGGGGGGCTCATGGCGACATGATGAGCAACCATGATGAGCAACCATGATGAGCAACCATGATGAGCAAACATGATGCGCAACCGGCGGGCGACCGACGGGACAACGTGGGCTACCGCTTGACAAGGCCGGGGGAGGGGGGGGCGTGACGTCCTCTCGCTGGCCCACGCAGCTTCGCCTCGCCCGCGCGCGCGGCACGAACGCGAATTCGAAACTCGATGTCCCGGTGGGGGGGGGCCCGTTACACTGCGATCTCACCCCCCAACCTCCGATCTAGACTAAATCCGTGGCTGCATCTACCGGACCCGTTCCTGCATCGCTGCGCTAGAACCCTGCATCAGGGCCACAACTGGCAAAACCAAAAAAAAACGCCCAGCACCGACCGGCCTGCAACGCGAAGCTTCCCATAGCGATTGCAACGCAAATTGCGGCGCTGGCAATGGCCCTCAGACAGAAACATTTCGACCGCCTCCGCGGCGCGCTCTCTCTCCTAGTCAGTCTTGCGTGCTCTGCCCGCCTGGCGCGCGGGATTCGCATGGCAGCGTTGTCGGTCATGCCTCGCGAGCATGGTCCACTTGACTGTCTGCGTAGCTCCGGCGTGAATCCCGCGTAATGCGACATGTTGAAATTGGCGGCTCTTCGCGAGATCCATGGCGCAGCCCCGCGACTTCCGCCCGCGCATAATGGCGCTGGAGAAACGTGCCCGCGCAACCTCGCCATCCGCCCCAGCAGCAGACGAGGTAGACGCTGGCGTCGCCGATGCGCAGAGTGGACCTGCCGAGGAAGTGGATGCCCGCGCGCAACTCACGTGCGGCACTGACGAAGGTGAAGCCGTAGGAGAAGAGGCCGTAGACTTGGAGATTGGACCCTGAACTGATCGACGCGGCCGCCGAACTCGTGGCCGATGCACCCGAAAAAGCTCTGAAGCCGCAGCTCTGGCTCCCCTCCCGACCGCCCCGGCGCGGTGGGCAGTCGGGCTCTGGGGCCCTCAGGCCCCCGCCACAACTGGCGGGGCAGCCGCCGCCTCGGCGGCTGGGGGGCCGCTGGACTCTTGCCGCTCCTCTTGGCCGCCGCCGCTGCTGCCGCCACTGCTGCCTGCGCTGCCGCGGCTGCCGCCTCGCGCGCCGCCGCCTCCTTGGCCTCTCGAGCCCCGTGGATCTCCGCGCCGATGGCCTCCTGGTCGGGCTTGGCGTCGGGCTTGGCGTCGCTGGGCTGCGCGCCGCCATTTCCGCCCCCCGCTGCGTCAGGCGCCGGATGCGCCTGGGGCTGGCTGCCGCTATGCGCCTGCCCTTGACAGCCCTTCCTCGTCTTGGCCATGCGATCCTGGAGCTGCTTCTGGAACGCTTGCGCCCGCTGCCTCCGAGCGTTGATCCCCCCCGCGCGGTCGCCCAGCGCGGTCGTGTTCACGACGAGGTCCTTCTCGAGCTGCTCGAGTTCAGTCTGCTCCACGCCGTAGCGCTGGCACGTGCCGCGGCGCGACGCTTCGAAGCAGTTGCTGTCCCACTCTGGTCGTCGAACAGCTTCGCATCCTGCTGAGTCTGCCGGGCGCCAGGTGCATCCTCAGCAAAGGCCTGGATGGCGAGCTTCCTGGCGACCGCGGCTGACGCAGGCTGCCGAACAGCCACCTCCTCGCGCGCCACCGCCCGCTGGAGCTGCTCTTTGGCCCTGGAGACTGCCGCGACCACCGAGTCGTGTTCCTTGTTGGCTGCCGCCCATGCCTGCTCCGCCCGACGGCGCGCCTCTCCCTTGGAGACGACCGGGGCCGTCGGCGGAGGAAAGGCTTGGACCATTGCCGCCTGCGGCGCCGCCCTCAGAGCCGGATCCTGCGCGACGGCGAAAGCCTGGGCGAGGGCGGCGGCTGGGTGGGCCGCCCCCGTGGGAAGCGCCAAGGCGAGCTGCTGCGCGCGCGCGCCATGCCTCCGCCCTTGCCCTTGTCCTTCTTGTCTTCGACTTTGTGGACTACTACCGTGGTGCCCCATTTGCATGCGCAATTCCTGGCCGACAAGAGATCGTCCCTCTCGTACCAGTTGCGCGAGGGGCACTTGGTGTAGAGACCCTTGCCGCTCATGGGGACTGCACTGCCGTGGTGCTCCGCGAGCAACGTCATGTCCTCGGCCTGCTGCAGTCTGCTGCGAAACTCCGTTCTGCACCTCCTGGCGCGACGAAGACACGCGGGCGATGGCGGCCTCTTTCGAATCGCGGTCGACCCTGGATGGGCCTGGGGGCTCAGGTGCGCGGGCAGAAAGCAATAAAGGGACTGCGCCGCTGCTGAATCACCTAGGATGCAGAGGGGGATCGATGGACGGGGGGAAGGAGGGAGAAGGAGGAGTAGGGGAGGAGGGCAGGGGGCGGGAAAGGGGGGAGGGGGCGACGCGACAGCGAAGTTGCCAGGGCAGAGGGGGCACTGGGCTGCTGGGGGACAGTTGGGAAGGGGGTCGGAGGCGGTGCCATGCGGGGCGGGCGCGGAGGGGGGAAGGGTGGGGGTGGGGGGGGGGGGGCGGCGCGAAAATAAACTGGTCGGGGCGGGGCGGGGGGCTGGGCGGGCTGCCGGGGGACACTGGGGCGAGGGGGCGGGGACAGTGTCTTGCGAGGGGGAATGTGGGGGGTCCGCGCGAGCATGCAATGGCCGGTGCGGGAGGGGAACTGGGCTGCTGGAGGATAGCGGGGAGAGGGGGCGGGGGGCGGCATCCGACGGAGGGGAGGGAAAGAAGGGGGGATGCGGTGCGGAGATAAGGCCGGAACGAGACCGGAGCGGCAGCTCGCGGAAACCCACCTGTATTCTTCCTGAAGAAAGTTGTTGGAAGGTTTTCCTGGGCTCTGGGGGGGGGCGAGGGAGGTTTTCTGGAAGGTTGTTCCCGACAGCTTTCTCTGAAAACCTTCCAAAACATCCCAACATTGAGCAAAGTCGCCCAATGCATTCAAAAATCCTCCCTCCCATCGGGCCACCTGGGGCCCAGATATATCCACTGATCCACCGCCGGCCGATGCCCCTGAGCGTCGGTCGCCCAAGTGGTGGATATGGATAGAAATCCCCGCCTCGGACAGACGGAACCATCTCTCCCTGCGCGGTCGGCAGGCGAGAAGAAAAATCTGTTCGGTCGGGCGGGGCTCCCAGCGGGCGAACGTGTTGTTTCTGTCGAACGAAGAAAGCGTGCAGGATTTTATCCGCTGGGCGAGGAAATTTACGGACGCTAGGGTCGAAGATTTCTGTAGGAACTTCCCAGTCACCACGGATCAATTTAAATGTTCAATTGGACCTCCATGTCGTCGGTGCCGCCAGAACCCGAGCGCCCAAGAGAAACAACTGGCCCTGTAAACGCACTCGTTTCTCCAAACCCGCTCTCCCAACCTTGACACTTCCCTCTGTCGGTGCACAACGGAGCTACATGACAATGCAAAAAGCGAGCGCCAGAATAACAAACGCCTGCCCCAGTTCAGATGGCTCCCCCTCTTCCAGAGAGTGTCGGCCACCCCAGTTTTGCATTCTCGGGGCAGGAATCGCTGATCGCGCGGCAGCTACGCGTGAGCTCGAGCTCTCTTCTCTCCTGCCACGTTTTCAATCCACCACCTTCCTCTCCCCGCCTTCTGTTTCCTCCCTTCCCCTCCCTCCACCCATCCACCATCGTTCTTCTCCCCCTCCTCGGCCTCTCCGCCCAACTCCTGATCCTCCTCCTCCTCCTCCTCCTCCTCCTCCTCTTCCTCCTCATCGTCCTATTCCCTCCTCATGCTCCCCATCCGCCGCGGACGCCTCCAACGTCCACGCTTTTTCACCTCCACCCTTTCCTTCCCTTGTCCTCTGGAAACCAGGAGCAGCCCACGGTCAACATACCGAGCCAGCAAAATCACGCCCTCACATCATCCTCCTCCCGTTCCTCTTCCCCATCCCACCTCCTCCTCCTCCTCCTCCTCCTCCTCCTCCTCCTCCTCCTCCTCTGCCCCTTCTTACCCAAACCCGTCCCTTCATCTTTCTTCCCCGAAGCTGCGATAAGACCCGCCAGAGGGTCCACGCACACCACGAACCTCATTGGTTGGAAACTTGCTCGCGAAACGGCCCCGCGGCCGCATACATGAATTACAGAACAAGCCGAGGCATGCCGCTGTTCAAATTCGAGCAACTCGGCCCGAATGCATCCGCCCGTGATCCCCTGCGGTTTCGATTTCTTTGGCATCCAACATCAAGCAACTCACACCCGCCACCGCGCCTGACACACACACACACACACAAACACACACACACACGATGCACACACATACACACACACACACACACACACACACACACACACACACACACACACACACACGCGCGCACGCGCGCGCACGCACGCACGCACGGCGCACCTAAGAACGCATGCACGCACACACAAACGCACGCACGCACGCACGCACGCACGCCCGCACGCACGCACGCACGCAGGCACGCACGCACGCAGGCACGCACGCACGCACACACACACACACACACACACACACACACACGTGCACGCAGGCTCGCAAGCACGCACGCAGGCACACGCACATACACACACAACAAACAAAACAAAAAAACGCACACACGCACACACACACACACATCGTGGATAAGAACGTGCGATCATGACGCCGACGGCCCGACGAGGCGCCGCCTGCAGCGAGCTAGCACGCGACGAAACTGAGGGTGATATGCGCTCCCCGACCGCCAACAAAAATCAATCACCTGCAGCCACAAAGACTGACAACGCATGCGAACAGAAGCAGGCTACAGTGGGAGCATGGCGTGAAGAGAAGGAGACACGCGTGAGAGCACCAGAGCATCGGGAGGCAGAGGGCACAGAACCCGCCGAGGCCCCGCTTTAGCGGACTCCCGCCGAGGCCGACCGAGGAGCCGCGCGTCGGGTTCAACACTCCAGCACGTAGGAGAGGACACCGAAGACGGCCCGAGACGGCGCCGCCCAAAGAGAGCCCCAACGCGACGACATCCGATGTGAAATCCGCGACCCGACCCCCAGAGGAACCCGAAGACCTGCAACCACAGGAGATCCGAATCATCATCAACATCATCATCATCACCACCACCACCATCATCATCATCATCATCATCATCATCATCATCATCATAATCAGCATCAGCATCATCATCATCATCATCATCATCATCATCATCATCATCGCCGTCATCATCACCACCATCATCATCATCACCACCACCCCCAGCATCATCATCATCATCATCATCATCATCATCATCGCCGTCATCATCAGCAGCAGCAGCAGCAACATCAGCAACATCAGCATCAACATCATCATCACCGCCGCCACCACCACCATCATCATCATCATCATCATCATCATCATCATCATCATCATGATCATGATCATCACCACCATCATCATCAAGCCCTGCGCCAAAAAGTGGAACGCAATCAGCAACGAAACTCACCCCCTAGACACCAAATCCGAAGGACACTTTTCACGTTCGGCAAAGCAAAAGTCCTCGTTCGGCCGGGAGAAACTATCCCCACTTGACTGGGGACCGTTCCCGGGATCTCCCGGAGAATATGCCCCCGCTCGCCCGAACTCTCCCGCTCGGCCCAGGACAACTTTCCCGTGGGGGGCCGAACTTCCCCGTCCACAACTGGATTCCCTGGCCAGCCTTCTCGCCTCCCTGTGCGATCCTCCTTCGCCGCCGCGGGCAGCCAGTCGTCGTCGCAGGACGGCGCGCGGTCTGACGAGCTCGCCGACGAGCGCGCGTGGCAGGGCTGGGTCGCCGACGAGCCCGTCGCCGACGAGCTCGCGGGGCAGGACTGGCTGATCGCCGACGAGCCCGTGGGGCAGGACTGGGCGAGAGGCGGCGGGGGGGGGAGGAGAAGCCTTCGGAGACGAAGCCAGGACCGAGGACAAGACCGGACCGTGACAGACGGAGAAACTTTTGGGGGCGAAGTACATAGGGGGGGCGACACATGGGGGGGGGGGAGAAAAGGTGCCCGTTCGGGCCCAAAGAGCCTCCTTCTGGGTCCTAAGGCCCCCTCTGGGGGCCCCGAAGGGCTCCTTTTCTGCAGCTCGCGCTGCCCCCCCATTATATCGCCCCCCCCCCCCCACACACAATCACTCGCGCCCCAGCTCTCTGAAATCCCAGGGGCTCCCGAGGATGCATCGGGCGTCGCGCGGCCGTTACACACCCCTCCAGAGGAGAGGTACGACAGTAGGAGGAGGAAGAGGAGGAGGAGGAGGAAGAGAGAGAGGAGGAGGAGGAGGAGGAGGAGGAGGAGGAGGAGGAGGAGGAGGAGGAGGGAGGAGGAGGAGAGGAGGAGGAGGGGGAAGAAGAGGAGAAGGAGGAGGAGGAGGAGGAGGAGGAGGAGGAGGAGGGGAGGAGGAGGAGGTGGAGGAGGAGGGAGGAGGAGGGAGAAGGAGGAGGAGGAGGAGGAGGGGGAGGAGGAGGAGGAAGGAGGAGGAGGAGGAGGAGGAGGAGGAGGAGGAGGAGGAGGAGGGGGAGGAGGGGGAGGAGGGAGGAGGAGGAGGAGGAGGAGGAGGAGGAGGAGGAGGAGAGGAGAGGAGGAGGAGGAGGAGGAGGAGGAGGAGGTGGAAGAGGAGGAGGAGGAGGAGGAGGAGGAGGAGGGAGACGAGGAGGAGGGGGAGGAGGATGAGATGGAGGAGCCCTAGGCCCATCCGACCCTGTGCCAGGTCACCCCACCTCGCGCACCTCGCGCCCCGCCGCGTGCGCGCCTCTCGGCGCCCGCGCGCCGCGCCACCCCGGAGAGGAGGGGGCAGCCGCTCGGGCCTGGGTCGGGACGCGCGCTCGCCTCCGCGCCTCCGCGAGGGTGGCTGAGCCTCCGCCGCCCCAGGGCCGAGGCTCGAGGACCGGGGAACTGGGGGGGGCTCCTCGCTGGGGGGCAGCGAATAGGAGGGGAACCGGCATAATGGGGGGGATGCATCGCCCTGGAATCGGCGATACGCGGCCGACAGATCGGCGATGGGCCCCCGATGGTGCATCCGCACCTTCTTAGGCGGGTTGGGGCGACAGACCCCTATCGGCGATCAATGGGCCGTTGGGGGTCGATGCGTCCCCCCCTAATTATGCCTAGCCCCCCCCTGTCGTTGCCTCTGATTCGCCCTCCCTCACCCGTCGACTGCGCGCAGGAGTGACCCTGGGTGAGCGTGACCTTTGGTGCGCGGCTTTTTGGGGGGCCGCAAAGGGGACCAAACACAAGCGCGCGAGACGCTGCCACCGCATCGCGTTCGGCACCAAAACTCACTCCGGCGAAAGGGTCACTCTTACGTGTAGTTGAACCCTCTGGGAGGCCCCTCGTCGACACGGTTCGGATCCACCTCGAGGGCCTTGTGGTCGAGAGGCGCCCCGGCAGCTCTCCAGGGGTCCACCAGTGGGGCTCTGGCCAGGGAGGGGGAGGACTCCTCCTGCTGCTGCTGATCTCCTCTCCCGATCCTCGTCCTCCACGATCGTGGAATATAAGGAATGGAGGAAAAGAGGTGAAGGACGTCGCGAACCGTGTCTATACCAGCCAAGTCCTGGCAATCTGCTCAACTTTGGTGAGCACCTTCGGCCACCGGACGCTCTCTACACGCTGGAGGTGTTCCTTTTCTGGCTTGTGTTGCGGGAAGCTTTGTTTGGTCTATGTACAGAGATGTTGCTGACCATAACGTCCACACCTTCCACATACATGCAAAAGCCAAACGCTCGCGGAACTCTACCAAGTGGGAAACATGGACCCACCCGCCGTTGAGGCCGAGAAATATCACGAGCGCCGCGTGAGCATGCAGTGTAATTACTCAGACGGAAGGACCCCGCATGATAATATGTTCAGATTGCCCTTACCCTTTTCCTCCTCGCCCTGACGGACACTCTCCTCTCGCCTGCCGCTCTGCCCTCACCTACCCCCCCCTCATTTTATTTATCCTCCTCCTCCTTCTTCTCCACATCCTCCTCATCATCACCCCCTCCCTACCCCTTCCCCGTCCTCGTCCTTCCCCCGCTTCTTCTCCGCGCGCTCCACCCTTTTCCCCTGGTCGGGGCAAACACATCGATGTTCCTCGGCGCCGTCGCCGCCGCGGCCGGAGCGCGCGCATTCCCCGACGGCTGGTTCGCGAAGCCTTTGGGACAAACCCCGCGGGCCGCTGGGGCGCGGGGGCAGGCGGTCGGGACAGCCCCGCGGGCCAAGCCGTTGGGACAACCCCGCGGGCTTCGAGCGGGGCGCAGCCGCGCTCAGGCGGGAGGCAGCATGAACCCAAGCTCGGCGGCGAGCTGCTCGGCCTCCTCCCTAGACGTCTCCGCTCTCTTGTCGAACTCCAGAAGCGCCTTCCGCAAGGAAGCCGGCAGCCCGCGCTCCATAAACTCGCGCGGATTACCAACATGAAATGCGGGACCCATAAGGAGGGGGCTCCCGCCTGAGACTTCTTCGCGATTCACTCACAGACGAGGTTCCCGCTTGATACTTCCTCCAAATTCGAACGTGGAGAGCCTAAAAGCGACGACAGTTACAGCCGATGGCCCGCTCGGATTACCAACGTGAAATGCGGGACCCAAAGGGAGGGGGCTCCCGCCTGAGACTTCTTCAGAATTCACTCACAGACGAGGCTCCCGCTTGATACTTCCTCCACATTCAAGCCTGAGGAGCACAGCATTGACGACAGTCACAGGTTGCCGATGACCCGCTCGGATTACCAGCATGAAATGCGGTACCCATAAGGAGGGGGCTCCCGCCTGAGACTTCTTCGCAATTCACTCACAGACGAGGCTCCCGCTTGATACTTCCTCCAAACTCAGGCCTGAAGAGCCCAAAAGTAACGACAGATACAGGTTGCCGATGACCCGCTCGGATTACCAACATGAGCTGCGGGTCCCATAAGGAGGGGGCTCCCGCCTGAGACTCCCTCACAATTCACTCACAGACGAGGCTCCCGCTTGATACTTGCTCCAAGTTCAAGCCTGAGGAGCCCAAAATTGACGACAGTTACAAGTTGCCGATGACCCGCTCGGATTACCAACATGAAATGCGGGACCCATAAGGACGGGGTTCCCGCCTGAGACTTCCTCACAATTCACTCACAGACGAGGCTCCCGCTTGACACTTCCTGCAAATTCAAGCCTGAAGAGCCCAAAAGTGACGACAGTTACAGGTTGCCCATGGCCCGCTCGGATTACCAACGTGAAATGCGGGACCCATAAGGAGGGGGCTCCCGCCTGAGACTTCCTCGGGTGACACAAGCGAGTGACGGAGTGAGTGAGTGAGTGAGTGAGTGAGTGAGTGAGTGTGGGTGGGTGGTGGGTGGGTGGGTGGGTGGGTGGGAGAGTGATGATGACGATGATGAGTGGTGATGACTGCGGTGATGATGATGATGATGATGCTGATGATGATGCTGATGATAATGATGATGATGATGGTGTGATGATGATGATGACAGATGATTATGATGATGATGCTGATGCTGGTGCTGATGATGATGATGTTGATGTTGATGTTGATGATGATGCTGATGCTGATGCTGATGCTGATGCTGATGCTGATGATGATGATGATGATGATGATGATGATGATGATGATGATGATGATGATGATGATGAGAGGGAGAGTGGGAGAGAGAGGGGGGTGAGGAGGAGATCCTGCGCGGAGGATGTCCAGAGAAAACAAGAACCCCACTTAGGATGTGGGGAATAAAGCCCACCGCCCTTCTGGGCGGAGGAGGTTACGAGAGCATAAAATCTTGTCCTTCGGGGAGGGGCTTACCACTGTTCTTTATCAGTACGCACACACGCACACCCTCACGAACTCGACTGGCCGAGAACCGGGAACGGGTGCACTTCCTCATACGAAAGGCAGACAGCACAAAGCGCACGCGGTGGCACTGTCTGTATCGCGAGCGGGGCCGTCTCCAAGGTGGCACGAGATAGGCCAACATGGTCAGAGGTGGAGTCCAGCATGCATCAACGGGGCCACAAGACCACCCCGAGGCGGTGCCAAACGGCCACGGCCCGCCCCAGGGAGACCGCCAAGGGGCCCAAATCAGTCAAACACCAAAGATCTGTTCAAGATTTTGGTTATGCTCCTGGTGGGCCTTGCCTCCGGCAGGGCGCGCGGGCAGAAGAAGGCGCGGGGCCACCATGCCCGCGCGCCTTGCCTCCGGCAGGGCGCGCGGGCAGAGTGGCCCCAGGAGCGACCAAAAGAGCCTCAAGGGGGCCCAGAGGAGGCCCAACCCTGCCCCAAGAGCGCCCCAAGAGTCAATCTGCAGGGCTCCCAAGAGGGCCCCCAAGAGGGCCAGGCGGTCTGTCGTTGCTCCTCTCTCCTGACAGCTCGCCCAGGCATCGCTCCTGGATGGGATGGCGGGAACACGCGAAACGTCAAGAGTGTAGGAGTGGAGACATCTCGTGGCTCAGCCAACTGGTCAGGCCTTCGGTGGCGGCCGGGCCTCTAGGAGTTAAACACATGGGCTCCACAAGTGGCGAGCTGATGAGGCGAGCAAGAAGTGGCCGTGGTAGCGAACGGCACAGGAGGAGGAACTCTAGCCTCGGATGCTCCTTCTCTGCCAAGACGGCCACTTCCATGGTGATGCGCCCAACAATCGAAGTCTGGCTAGCCTCGCGCTGTCGTCCACACGGTGCAGTTTGAACCGTAAGGAACTCTGGGACCATTGACTCCCTCGCAGCAGACCCCGCGAGATGATCAACGAACACGTTCCCAGTCATGGTTCAGGCTGGGGTTCCTCGATCGACGACCTCGGGCGAGGGGGCCTGCATCACAACAGACACTCCGACCGTCCTCCCAGCTTGGGCATGGCGGCGGAACGATCTCCAAGCGTCACCATGTGTTCCGCAAGGGTGCTCCAAAATCTCTGGCCCATTACATATCCCCTGCGCACCTTAGCAGGTTCTGCCAGATTTCTCGTCGGCCCTCCTGGTAGACGAACGGTGAGCTCCAGCGCAGGCAGCGACCCCTCTCAACAGCGTGTCGCTCACCTGGGGGTGGGCCACGCCCTGGGGCCTCAGGGATCCAGGGACACTCGAGTAAAAGTAGACACAACTCCCACAGCTCCCAATATTTCCCCATGCTTTCTAAATTCTCATCTTCCCCTCCACGTCCCATGTTTTCTCATATCTTTCTGGTATCTACGGTTCTGTGTGTCTGAATAGATTATTCCCCTCATGAGCATTTCGGGCGTTGGCAGCCACTTGTTTGGGTGGGACCTGGGTTAGTGATGTGCACTGGGGGATGCTCCCCCGCCTCATTCCACTACGTAACCGGAACTGCCGTAATCCGAAGAAACACCAGCAACGGCAGACCTGGTGTAGTGATTCTGGCCAACTTTAGCGGCTTCGAGGCCCAATCACTAATCGGCTCCCCTTACCGGGGTCATGGCTAATGGTCACTCAGCATCCTGAAAGACCAGTGGCAGCACGGGCGCATCTGCTGCGCAGTGTTGGCACGTCGTGCCCCGCCTCCCTTGTGCGAGGGTCCACGCTCCTCTAACGGCGATGGTCAGAATCACTTCTGGCGGCCCTGCGTGACACTGCCGCCTTGGACGAACTGCCGTCGAAGGCTGCCGCTTTGCCGATGGCGCTTCCCGTGCCTCCCGCGCAGACAGCGGAAGGCGCTTGCGGCCATTGCGAACGGCGAAACGCACCACGGAAGTCGCGACACAGACCTTGGGCTTCGCCCATGGCCTCCAACGCGCCGTCCACCTTCCACCCCAGGATGCGGCCGGTGTGGTCTGCTGGGAGATGCCGCTCGGACGGACCTGTGAGATTGCACTCGATTTGCCACAAGCTTTCAGTCGGGCCTGTCCCCATACAGGGGACATTTTCGACGAAAAATAAAAATTCCCCAAAACTACCCCAAGAAGGTCAAAACATACTCAAGAAAAAGTCCCCAGACTATTTTTTGATTATTTTTTCTTTATTAATTTTGGAGTATGTTTTATTTTTCGTCGAAAATCCCCCTGTAGGGGGACAGGCCCGACTTAACACAAGCTATGAGAGATGCCTGAACTTGCTCCCCTGACACAGCAGGCCCTGTGCCACGGCTCCACAAAGCGGAAATGATGTAATTATCATATCGTTCCAGACCCTGGTGGCAGGAATGGTCCCGGCCACGACTGGCCGCCCTCAAGTCATAGAGGGCTGTGAACAGCTTGCCTCCCTTATGAGCGCCTGCCACCGCCTCCGGTCGACGTCTGAGCTCATGGATGGTGGGCTTCGGCGAGCCATACAATCGATGGCCGTCTAGCTTGTTCTACTTTCTTGAGAGTGCGAAGCCTTCGCGAGACCGTGCCGCGTGCTCACTGCCATCATCACCAGCATCATCATCTTCATCATGGTCGTCGCCGACATTATCCGATCGGCGGCAAACACCACAACCACCACCATCGCCCGTGTCCTCACTGCATCCACAAGTTTGAGCCGACGGGGCCTGTGTCAAAATGACGTCGCCGGTGGCCAACTTCGCGGGGCGGTTCTTGATGCGGGCCCGTGGGCCCGACCAATTTATAATTGGCAGCGCCTCCGGACGCACGCGCGGGGTATCTGCGGGGCGCACCGAGCGCGAGGCGCCAAACACCCGTGGGCCCGAACACGTCACCAGCCCAATTGCCCTGGGCGCCAAAACTCCGAGGGGGCGCCTGCATGACAACTCCGCGCGCGACGCTCGAGGCCAGGGCCCGAAGGAGGGAGGGCGACTATGACCACAGCTCAACGGCCATACGACCACGGTAACGACGACGACGACGACGACGACGACGACGACGACGACGACGACGACGACGATCCCGACGACGACGACGACCCCGACGACGACCACGACCGCGGCGGCGGCGAACTCGCGGGCCTCGGCGTCTGCCCGGGCAGCCGCCGGGGCCGGCCCCAGCGCCGCGCCGGCGGGCACGGCCTGCGCCTGCGCCGCCGGGGCCGCCGCCGCCGCGCGGCCGTCGCGGAGCTCGCCGCCGCGGCCGCGGGGCGGCGGCGGCGCCGCCGGGTGCGACGCCTCGCGCGCGGGCGCGCCGCCCTCGCGAGACCCCCGACCCTCGACCGAAGCTCGATCCTGGCTCCTGGCGCACTGCGCCGCGCCGAAGGAGCCATGCCACGGATCGTGGCATCCTGTCTCCATGACTGTCACGGGCGATGATTCCGGCGTGCTCCAGGACACCCTTCGTCGCCGCCAACAGGGAGCTCGTCATTGGCCGTGATCGCATTGCTGCTCTGCTGGCTCCATGGCGGCCTCCTCGAACTCGGCAAGAGGTTGGGCTTTGTGTCTGGTGTCGACTCACGCGCTTGACGCTCTGGCAGTGTTCGTGCTCCAGAGCTGGATTCCAGGAAATTGGAAGAAATTGGGTTTCCCCGCTTCCTTCCCTCGTCCTTCTGGCTTTCCTCCCATGATGATCGATTCGCCCGCCTGAACTTCTTCGTGTTCTCCGTCGATCTAGTCACGAGTGGCGTGACTCCACGCGTCGTTGTGGACGGAGTTTCGGAGCCCGGGCCTTCTGTTGATGCGGCGGCTCATCTGGATGGCGACACTGTGGATGGGTATGTCTGGAAACTTTCTGTGCACCCTGGGGGGCGGCAGAGGATGGAGCTGCGCCGACACCGATGCCCTTCGCAAGTTATCTCATGTGTTGGGTATCGGTGCTTTGTTCCCTCGGGTTCTGGATCTGCCCCCCGCTCTCAAGGGAGCGCCTGCCTCTCATGCTGGAGGCATCGGGTCATTCTCTCCGGCCATCTACGGCCTGAAGCCCGCGCCCCTGCAGGCGGCCGCGTCATCTCTGCTCCCGGGCCCTTCGTGCACCACCGCAGCTCCTGGCATGATGAAGCCAGGGCGACGACAACATCTTGTGAGGGTACACCGAGCATCTCTGAGATCTGGCGGCTCTGGAGGGCGCATCGGTGGCCGTTGCCTTTTCAGAGCGCTCTGGCATGCTTCGCGAGCGTTCTGGAACGCTCTGGAACGGATTTTCCCTGGTCCTCGCGCCGCCCGATCTGGGACCCTGACCTGGGCTCCTGCTGAGCGGCGGATGCGGATGATTACCTTGCGGGCCGCGGGGCCCGACAGGCACACACATACAGCAGGGGCTCCACCACAAGAGACCTCCCACGAGAAACCCAACCCCGAGACCCCAGGCCCCAGGACGTCCATGGAACTTCGGCGTGGGAGCGCCACGCTTTCCATGGCAAAAGCCATGGAAACCCCAGAAACCCAGGGCGCCCTGGGGGCAAACAGGGTGTTTCCTGGCATGGGCCTCCACTGCACAATGAGGGGAAACGATAGTGGGGGACAGGCATAGGGGGGGGATACTGGAATCGGCGATGCATCGTCGATAGATCGGCGATAGACCCCCGAGCGTGAACCCGCACCTCCCTGGGTGGGGTGGGGCCATCGGGCCCCTCTCGGCGATCTATCGGCGATTGTGGGTCAACGCTCCCCCCCTGTGCCTATCCCCCCGCCCTGCCGTTGCCCCTGGCACAACCGCTCCCCAGAAGCCCCGGGGCCGCCGCGCCGAAGCGGTTGCTGGGACACCAAAAAGGAGGCGAGCGGGGGGCACGTCCGGCCCCGGCGGAGCGCGCGCTCGGGCGCCGGCCTCGTCTCCGCCCCTCGGGCTTTTTTTTGTCGGGCGGCTGCCTTGGTGCACGCGGGGGGGGGCAGGAGGGTGCGGGCACGGCTTCTGCGGTAATGGCATCTTTGCCGATACACTTCAAGAGAGAGAGAGAGGAAGGGGGAAAAAGAGAGAGAGAGAGAAGGAGAAAGAAAGAGGCATGCAGGCTGGAGCCCCTGAGAGCGCTGTTGGCTGATCAGGGCCCTAGGCGGCCTGTGTCCCCAGCATACTGCAGCAGCAAACGCTGCAGCTCATCTGCGAAAGCAGCCGACGCAAAACTAAGAGGCCCCGCTACGCTCCGACATGGAGCAAAGCGCGCAAGGAAACCTTCGATAAGGAATCCAGGGTCTGGAAGCCAGTGAAAAGCCAATCGTGGAGTGGCCATGGATATCACCGCCGCCCTTATCAGATAAGGAGCCCTCCAAGGTCTGAATCCTCCAGGGCACGTTCCTTAACAGACGCCCCCCACCGTGTCCACACCCACTGCGTCTTGCACTTTCTGGAAAGGGGCGCCAACAGGCCGCGGCGCAGTGGATGTGGGTAAACATCTGACCTCTATCGGGGCGAACATTGCTTTGTCCATCTCCACGGCGCCTCTGGGATCGGAAGAAGGGAGCCCGAAACTCCAAGGACGCAGTGGATATGGATAACAATCCCGCCCGCAGAGAGGGGAAGGGTCCGGACCGGAAGCGGCAAGAAAGCGGCGGGAGAAGCAGGAAGTAGAAGCAGCGACGAGGAGGAGCAAGGAGGTCTCCCGTGGACCCCCGACGTCAAGATTGTTTCGTGGCGTGGGCCCCCGAAATCCCGACCCATGCCCCAAGACCTGCTTTTCATACCGAGACGTTGCTTGACGGTCCCGGGGCTCGGAAAGGGCCCCCAGAGGCAGAAAATTGCGGAGATCGTTCGTGACCCGAGGGGGTCTGCGTCTCTCCCGCTTGAGCCCTTCCTCCTCCTGCTGCTTCTCCTCCCCCTGAGCAGGATGGAGATCGAGGCCTCCGAGATGGGCTCCGAGATGGGCTCCGAGCAGACGGGGTCGGAGGATTGCAGCGCATCGGCGATTTATCGCCGATGCGTCGGCGATGCATCGGCGATGCATATGCTATGCATCGGCGACGTCGCCGTTGCATCGGCGACGTCGACGTCGAGAGGATCGGGCTGCACATCGAGCCGCATCGCCGATGCATCACCAATGAATCGGCGATGTGGCACGATCCTCCGACCCCATCTACTCTGACCACCTCATTTGGGAGGCCTAGAAGGGAGGGGTTGGATGTCCAACCGCCCTTCCCACTCGCCTGGAGATGCGGCAGCGTGACTGCGGCGCTCTCCGCCTCGTCCTCTCGGGAGGGACCCCTCTCCGTACCAACCCGCCCAGCTCCCTGCCGAGCCCCTGCTCGATTTTCAAGGTCCCCCAGACCTCTCCGCATCCTACTCCTCTCGCCGTGGAGGGAGGGACCTTCCTCCTCCTCCTCCTCCTCCTCCTCCTCCTCCTCCACCTCGTCGTCGTCTTCTTCCTCTTCCTCCTCCTCCTCCTCCTCCTCCTCCTCCTCCTCCTCCTCCTCCACCTCCCCTCACTCCCTGTCCTCCTTCTCGCCGCGGAGGGATGGAACAACAACCTCAGGCCAAGACCCCCTCGGGCCATGAAAAGGTCGCGGCGGGAGGTCGTCGGCAATTCTCGGCCTCTGGTCGTAGCCCTCGCCCGGCCCCAGGGCCGTGCACGGGCGATTCGGCACGGAGAGCAGCGCCAGGGGAATGGGTCGAGACCTTCGGACGTCCACGTCATGAACAAAGACGTGCCTTCGGGGGTCGGGGGCCCGAGACAAAGGGGGGATCAGGACAATCGGGCGGAGGGCAAGTCGGGAATCCTCCCCCCCCAAAGAATAGGCGGCTCTGGAGAACTCATCGGGCGCCGCGGTCGGCTCCAGAGCGCGCCAGGAAGCTCCGAAAGCATTCTGGAACGCTCCGGGGCGCCTTGCCTGCAGTGATGGGCCTGTTTCCCACTTCCACTACCAGAAGTTGCAGGGAAGGTCATGAGGAGGAGGAGGAGGAAAAGGAGGAGGAGGAGGAGGAGGAGGAGGAGGAGGAAGAGAAGACAGGGAATGAGGAGGAGGAGGAAGAGGAGGAGGAGGAAGAGGAGGAGGAGGAGGAGGAGGAACCCTTCCCCCCTATACTCATGATAGTAGTGGTAATGGAAAACGGGCCCATCACGCAGGTTCCGTGGACGCGCCCGCGCCCTCCTGCAGGGCAGCACAAGGCGTGGCGATCGCACCGGCCCCCCGGCCCATGAGATATACGCCCGGGCAAGGCTGGCACGGGCTGACGGATCTGATTAGGGGAAATCCGCGGCCCCGTGCAGAGCTCCCCACCCCTTCCCTCCCAGACCCCCTCGGGCAATGGAGAAATCACGACGGGAGGCTTTTCCATAAGTTCGGCCTCGGGAGACCCTTGCCAAGCCTGGGGACCGTCAGAAAACGGCTCGGGATGAAAAGCCGGTCCCGAGAAATTGGTCGAGACCTCCCAAAATCGACGCTATGAAAAAATGATTACGCCCGGGGTCTTGCCCTGGGGGTAGCTGGGGGGATCGCCCGTTGAGCTCCAGATCCGTTTGTCATGGTCCTGGGGCCGAGCGAAGCGGCTCCCGCAGGCCGAAAAGCAACGGCAGAGCGCCGCGACACAAACCGTGCTGTAAACCCATACATACACACACACATATATACATATATATATATATATATATATATACACATACGAAGAAGGATGCGCAGCAAGGGTGCACAAGGGCCTTGGGAGTTTTCGAGGGGGCCTGGCCAGCGAAAGCGGCCAAGGCTGGGCCGAAAGGGCAATGCTGCGAACGCAACCTTGCAAAGCTGCTCCCTCTTCCTGCGCGAGGGGACTGCGCACCGTCGAAGTGTTGGGCGCCCCCCCCCTCCTCCTCTTACTTTTCCTCCTGCTCCTCCTCCTCCTCCCTCCTCCTCCTCCTCCTCCTCCTCCTCCTCCTCCTCCTCTTGTTGTTTCTCCTTATCCTCCTCCTCCTCCTCCTCCTCCTCCTCCTCCTCCTCCTCTTCATCCTCCCCCGAGGGTCCAATCAGCTCTAATTCGCTGCCAGCACTACTGAAGGCTGACAGGGCTGGTAGCTCTAATTAGCTGTCAGCCTTATTTAAGAACAGAGCTCTCCTGCGGTTTCTATGTCGATTCTATCGCTGGCGATGTTAATTATACGTTGAGTGTTTGTTAATCCTGGGTTGGATCTATGCGTTTTCTATATAATTATATGTTGATTCCAAGCGGTTTCTATGTTGATTTGACGTGGATTGCGTCCTTCCCCCCCCCCCCCCCCCTCCTCCTCCTCCTCCGCATTTTCCTCCCTCCGTCCTCCTCCTCCTCCTGCTCCCCGCGGCGCCTCCTCGACGGGAGACGCCGCCCCCTCTCGTTTCTTTGTTTTGCTCATCGCAAAAGGGGGGGGACTGCCCCCGATGCTGTGGGCGCCCATGCGGCGCGCGGATTGACTCAGCGAAGGCGTCGCTCACTCAGTGAAGGCGTCGCCGCTGGTTCGCCTGCGCGCCCCTGTTGCCGTTCTGGGCCAAGCAGCGCGCCTCCGCCAACATCGCCAGCCGCTCGTCGACCAGTTTCTCGACCCGCGGCCCGTCGTGCTCCAGAACCTTGTCGCTGCGGCCAAGGCGGCAATTCTGGACGCATCTCTGGCAGCAGGGAAACAACCAGTTACCGTCGACCTGCTGCGCGTAGCGCCAGGCCGCGGCGTCGCGCGCAGCGCCGAGGCCGCCGCGCGACGAGCACCGCCTGTCCCAGGCTGCCATGGCAACTGCTCTGGTGAACTCCTGGGTTCGAGTCGGCCAGGTTGCAGGAAGGTTTGAAGCCGAACAATGCTGCGGCAAAAATACAAGTGGATGAACAAGACGACTGGTCATGTGAAGGTGCGGGGGGGCGAGGAGGACGGGGGAGGGGAGCCCCGGCGCGGGTCGACATGCACCTCCTGCACAGGATGGGGGAGGGGAAGGCGACCTCTGTTTTGGATCTGGCCGAGGAGCAATGCCGATGCCATCGCAAGGCCCTCGCGAAAGGCTGCGAGAAACATGTGGACATCAATGCGGCGCTGACCCCCTCGGGCGCGAGCACGATGCCACGACGCTTGGCGAAGTGGGCGCCCGTGCCTCCGAAGTCCTTGTCTCTGTAAGTCCAGCATGTCCCGGGCTGATGCCCCTGTGGGGCTTCGAGGCCTATCTCGAGCAATTGATGAACCTTCGGTCTCGTATTTTTGTAAACAAATTAAAAACTTCCGGGCGCGTGCCGCGCAGCGCGGCGCGATGCAGGCTGAAACTGGTCGACTGCCCAAAGTGTCTCCTTTCAAGCTACCAGTTCTCAAGCGAAAATAACACTGAGACACATGAAACATCGCATGTTTCACCGCGGCCTCCTCTGTGACATTGGGATCGCACAGCTCGCCGGCGAGCGCTTTCCCAAACGGTAACAGCTGTCCGAGAACAGCAGCCTGCCCTGAAAGGCGCATTGCCCTCTCGTGCTTTATGGTCTCCATTGTCAAAAAGTGATCTCGGTCCGCCTCTGGGTTCCGCTCTTTCCATGTACTCAGGCGATGCCGCAAAGATGTGCGTTGCTCGCTGTGCGTAGGGCGAGTGAATTTTTAAAGTTGTATCAATCTGAAAAAAAGGAAAAAAACATCTGCCCCGACCAATCTGCAGCCGCGCCCAAGTCAACAGCATGTAGCCAATCGATTCCCCAGACCGATTGGTCGACCCATGGTTGTGACCTCATCGGAGAAATCGTGACATCATGTTCCACTAAGTGTTGGATCAATTGCGTCTTCGTGCGCCTGTTGCTCCGCCGCGGCGCCGCGCTGCAGATGCGCCCCGGCTGGGGGGCCTGCGCGGGCGCAGGGGGCGGGAGACGCATGGCGAAGAGGGGGGCGAGAAGGGCGGCGAGAAGGAGGGCGAGAAGGGAGCGGGCGATGGGGCCTGCTGCGGCGCCATGCGCCGCCTCCAGCAGCAGCCCGCCTGCTCGTTGAACTGCGGGAACCCGAACACTTGTTTCCAGCATTCCCAATCTGCGCGCATCTGCACCAGCGCAGACCTGCAGCCTACATGTGAGACTGCCTTCTTGGCACTGTGAAAGTCAGACTTCAACCAATATGCGCCGTCGTGGCGGGCGGCAGGGTATTCGCCTGCAGCCATGGGCCGAAAACTCCCAACAATCACTTTGAACATGTCATGCCAAGCGTTCGTGCTCATGGACAACTTCATCAAGCCAGCGATGGGCACGCGCAGCTTGCGCGCCTCCACCGTTTTCGGCAGCCCTGGCAAATTGAGGCCCGCGAGCTCTACAGTCTGATCGCGGCCCCACTGGCGCGGGGCGCCGTCGGCCCACAGACCCGCTGGAACCATCGAATCAACTTGCACTGCCGAGAGGCAGCGCTGCACGTGCTCTTCTCCAACTTTATCCAGACCGCCAGTATCCCCCAGTTTCTCAAGCGAGCCGTAAGTCACCAGCTGGGCAACAGATTCGCAAGGTAGGCCGAAAGCGGCCCACTCCTTCTGCTCGCTGCTGCGCCTCCTGCCCCAGCAGCGGATCTCCGCGAAGCACGGCCTGGGCCGCAAGCTGCCGCGGAGAAATCGCCTCCGCGACCTCCTGGATACATTGCCGCCGATGTTTGCCCATTTGCTGGCGCCCTTCTCGCCCGCTCCTCGGCGGCTGGTCACGTCGCTCGCTCCTCGGTGGCCTCCCGCGCGGGCGTCGCCCAGCAGCGACTGAACTGGGCCTGGTTGTAGGCGAGGGGGGTTTTGTGCACTTCCGGAACAACCGATCATGAGTTTGAACCTGGATATACCTCGAACTGCCAAGATAATCATAACTGCAACTTCCCAAGACATCAGTATATCGCGAAGATCAGGATGTGGGAATTCAAGCACAGCAGAACAATCCCAGCATACATAATATCAAGATCTGATCAAGATCAGTTCGACATTTTCATTCATAGCACAACCCTTTAGCAATAATGATATCCCACGGTAAGAGTCGGCCCCTCGCATACGGTCTATCAGGTCGTCGCATTCCTTTGGCAGTCGCCACGTAGTACATTCCCATTCGGACTTGCACCACCATCAACTCTGACCTGCGTTCTGCCACACGATGTGCGCCGTATGTAATCCACCCAGAGCTCGACGTGACTCTCGGTTGCGAGGTCCACCAGCCCACAGGCACACTGTAGAACTCAGTCAGCTGCTCTCTGAAATCCGCGAAGGCGGCACACTCCGTCACACAGTGACGTACAAATGGCCAGAAAGCCTCACCACAACACGGGCAGTACGGGTCACACGTAAAATCATGATTTCCTCCGCGCGCGTGGGAGCTGGCCGCCCCACACATGTATATCATCACCTTTTGCCACTCACTCGGGGCGAGTGCGTCGCGAAACTTCTTCCAAGCTTTGCCCGAGAGGGCCTCCACGTCAACATCCTCCATGCCAGGGTAGTCTCGTCGTGCCGACGTCGCTTTGGTCAGAGCCTTCAGCCGACTTACAGCACGTAGAACATGAAATGCTCGCTCTCCTTCAGAAGTCCAAAACCCACGACGGTTCTGGAAGATACGCTTCACTCTTGGATCATCCTCATCTTCCAGCATCTGAAATCTAACCCCCCTCTCGGCGTCGTACTGCACGAATTCCAAGCCCACAGCCTCGAAGAAGTTCTGCAAGTTGTGCTCGACCCAGGGGTTGAAGTCGATCTCCTAATCTGTAAGACGGCGGGCCGCCGTCAGAATATTTGAAAAGACTGGGTGGTACTGAATATGCAGGGCCCAAAAACGGCCTCGACACCACCAGAGACATCTCGTACGTAGTACTGAACTCATAAGCTTCGCCGCTACGCCTGCAGGTGGTAGCGTGAACACAGGACAACACCATAGCCATCTCGGCACAACATATGCGCCTGCAGCACGTAGTCGAGTCCTCGAACTTCCAGGCAGCTGTCGCAAGGCGGCGATGGCTGCATACACTTTCCTCCAACCTCCCGCTGGGGTGACGGGGGCCGTGGGATCATCTGGCGCCGCTTCGACTCCGATGTGCTCGATACGACGAAACTCACCACGATGCCATTATTGACGCTTACCTTTGTTCTCCACGGCCCCCGTCTCGAGGTCGAAACGATCGGTCGTGTCGATGTCGTTGCGTAACTGCTGGTCCGACTCACAGACCAACGAGCGATCGTCCATGAACAAGAACTGCTCGCCCTCGACCTCCCACGGGGCCAAGACAGAGCAGAGCACCTTGGGCGCGCAGGAGTCGCCCTGCGCCAGTCCTCGAGATGGCCACACCTCTTCCTTGGCAAGAGCACCGGCCACCTGACATCTTCTCCGCCCCGTCCACGCAGCAAAAGATACCGCCACCAAGTCCGATGGGGCATCAGCAGCATGGAGCGACGCAATCCCCACCTCGTGGGGGACCTGGTCGTAGCACTTGCTGAGGTCACGCTCCATGCCCGCCTGGGCAGTGATGCACGCCTTCAGCCAACTGCACACAGCTTGACACACTGATGACTCCGTATTGCAGGCATACTGAGCTGCCTGCGGGGAGGGAAACGCTTCTTCACATGCTGTCAACCAACTTCTCAACAGTACACTCGCCACCCCAATCGGTCGGGATGCTCCACACTTCTTCGGGATACCCACAACTCTCCAAGAGAAAAGTAGCTTCTGCAAGTTCACCACATCCTCGGGCCTCTCCTCCACGGGAACAGTCTTGAACATGCCGTTGGCTCCGAGGAACTTCGTCGTGTCAAGCCAGAGGTCGTGCAAATCCTGCACTAGGAACTCGAACGTCACGGCCATCATCTTCAATTCTCGTGCTGTCCAACCGTCGTAGCCAGCGCTTCCTTTCCCGCGAGCAATGGCTCGCAGGAACTGCCCAACTCGGACTCCAGCCCGCCTGGGCCTTGCTCCGAGGGAGGGGGCGACGCATCCGCCGAGCATGCTCTACCCACGAGGTCGAACATGCCTCGCCATTGAAGCCCTCGGGGCGCCAGATCTTGCGCCACTCCTCGGACATGTCATCGGCTGTGAAGGCAGGGCACTCCGTCGGGTCATGCATGACTGAACCCGCTGCTCTCCGCCATTCAGGGTCAATAATTTCTTTGGCAAAAACCTGCTTCCATGATGAGCTATCCTCCGCCCTCAGGCGGCGCTCCATCTTAGCAATCGCATCAGATACTCGATCATGTGCACGGCCATAGCTCGGTAAACCAGCACATCCATTGTCAATAACATGCCGCAGACAAAACTCAATGAACACGTCGAGCTGGTGGCCATCCAACTTCACGTTCGGTGGGCTCCTCCTCAACTGCTCTGCTATGCTTCGGCCCAATCTCTTTAGCCTGGACAGGATGATGGGCTCGTTCGGCCTGCGCTTCGGCGTCGATGCAACAGGCCTTTCTTCTGGGGTCGATCCTTTGGGTCTCTCGGCGCTCCCACTACGTATGAGTATGCCCGACTCGACCCCCAGCTCCATCACACGGTTGGCCCGTGCATGCCAGCGTGTCCATCTTTGCGTCATCGTGTGAGTCCTCCCCAGCATAGGTAAGGTCTGATCCACGTCTGCCCGCAATACTTCAACATCCTGGGGTAAGACCAGCGCATTCTGATCCAGCTCGAAAATCGATGTCCGCTTTAACCTCGTCGTAGGGCCCGCCATCGCACTCCAGGATGTCGTACACAACACCAAGCCATGGTACGGGATACCTTGCACAAAGACCGTAGAGGTATGCTGAGCAACAACACCCGACGCACAGATTCTGGTCGGAAAGGTTCCCGCCAACGTCGTCGGTGCTGTCATCTGGCATACGGTCGCATGGATTGGTACAGACTGCTGATAAGACTGCCTCCAATTCAAATCCCCAAGGATAATCCAGGGCTTTCCCGCAGCAGTAACTTTGGTCCAATCAAAAACTTCATCCATCCATTCAGTACTTGGGACCGACGCGGGTCCATATGCAGATACAATCGTACCAAAAGCCCCACGTACGCCCATGTACCTGCGACTCTCAGATCGGAAAACTTTAACTCCACCAGCGCGGGGCCGCCAGAACAAAGCGGCCCCCCCTTGCATAGTAACAGACTTCGCATTCTTTCCAGGCGGCACACTGACAGCACACCTCCAACCCAGTCTCTGAGCCGTAGCTGACGCCCACCGTGGTTTCTCCGTATGTAGGCGTACCTCCTGCAAGGCCAAGAAGTCCACCTCCTTCAAGTCGTCGTGCGTGAGCAGCTCCTCCAGCCTGGCGGCGTTCAGAGCTGTGACGTTGATCGTGGCCAAGCGCATCTGGCCGCTCACTGCCGGCGCCCCCCCACCCCCGCGGAGCGGGTCGCGGGGGTCGGGGCACCCTCAGCATGATGGGCTCGACGCAGACGCTGACGCCGAGGCCGACGCCGTCCGCGCAGCAACCTTCTTCTTCCAAGCCTCCTTCCCGCGCTTGCGCTTCTGGATCAGGTAGCGTTCGCGCTCGGGGCCACTCCTCAACCTCCTCTTGTCCAGCTTCTGGTTCTGGATCCGCTTCCTCTCTTTGTGCTCGGGCCTCTTGGAGTACTCGGCCCAATACTTTTTCCTCTTCTCACGCTTGTCGGGTCCGAAGTTGGCCTTCTTCTTCTGGATGCGCTTCTGCTCCTCCTCAAAGTAATGCCGCATACGTGATACTCCGACCGTACTTGTCAAGAACTGCTTCCGCGTAACTTCATTATGTCTCCCACTGCATATATTCCAAGGCGCCTGTCCCAGCGCCCTCTGGATACCACACCGCGTGCACTTGTAGGCTGTGCAGTTCTTCGTAGAGTTTGGGATCGTCAACACCGTACGAGGATCATACTCACACACAGCCTCCTGAATACTGATCGGTAGCTTTGCCTTCCACAACAGATGCTTGGCAAACCCACGCTGGCGTACGTTCTCACGAATCTTGGCGGAGTTTGCGAGAAACTGGGAGATATGCGAGTGCACGATCTTCCCGATCTTGGGCGCTGGCTTGCCCTGGCACTTCCTCCAGTGCCTGTCCGCCTGCACACTGAGCAAGGAGTTGTACTTGCGCTTACCCATCATCACTCTGTCGGACGTGTCAGGCGTCCAACCACACTTATCACACTTATAATATTCACCAGTTTGCCAAGACCAAAACTGTTTGAATGCATCATCATCGTCTCCTGCAGCCTCCTCCGCCAGGGCTTCAGCTCCACCAGACTCCAAACCCAGGAAACTACACATCTCGTCCGCACGCTCATCCAGGCCCAAGGTACTCGCAATGGCACCTGAGTGCGCTGTCGGTGTACTGTGCAGACCAAGAAGAGATAATCTATCAGCGTCATCACCATCCTCCTCACCACTGCCCTGCAAGCCATGCTGAGGGTACGGGAAAGCTTGATCACGCCACAGACGTAGCGTGTTCTGGTACGCAGGCAGGTCTTGGATGTCCGCTCGAGGCTCCAGCCACTGGTAGTGCTGGTCCTCTAGGGTCAACCAGATCTCCTTCTTCTTCGTCTTGGAGTTCGGCTCTCGTCCGTACGCTATCCATTTGCCATTCGCATCTTTTGCCCAAATATAAATATCCGTCTTCGCCTCATGCGCCAGTAGCCTCACCGCCAGGGCTCCCGCAGGGTCCCCCGTCGTGCCATGGTACTCCGCCTGCAACTTCGTCGTGCCGTACACCTTCTTCAAGCCCGCCCTCTGCACCAGCATGCGGAGGTGGCCCTGGATCGGACCCTTCGGCTCGAAAGCGTTGATGGGCGGCTCTCGCCCACTCGGGGAAACATGATGCAGGCCGCGACCTGCAGCGATATAAAAACAATCACCATCACCTGCACATTGAACAACTTTGAACCACTTAGTATATGGTGTCACATGTTTGCCCACATCTTTACCATCTTCACCTCTCTGCAACTTTGACGTTGATTCGACCTTGGCCTCCTCTTTCGCCTCAGTCTTGACGTCGTCCTTCGTCGGCGTGACCGTTGGTGCTCCAGCAGTCGGCGTAGTTGCCGCTGGTGCCGTTGACGCAGCCGTCGAAGCTGCCTGAACCCCTGCATCGTCGTCGATGTTCTGGATCCTCGGCATGGCCGCACCCCGCGCACTCCTAGTCGTAGATGCTGGACCCTCCTTCGGCTCCTGACGTGCCGGTGCTTGAGGTCTCACAGCCTTGGTCACCAACACACCACTCTTGAACGAGAAACTCGTCGCCACCACACCCTGCGGCGGCTCAGCATAGAATCGCCAAGCTCTAGGCCCAGCTCTGGTCGGCTCCTGCACCCGCAAGAACCCTCTCTCCGTGGCCCAGTCCGCCACCAGCTGCGGCGTCGTCCAGGTCGGGAGCGCGTGCTTGATATAATACTTCGTGAGCTCGAGCATGCCTGGAGCATTGACCTGCGTGGTCGCACCAAGCTTGGCCCGTCCGTATGGACGGTACACCAACAGATTACGCTTCTCTTTTAATAGCCCACAAACTCTTTTGAGATAGTCCTTCGGCGTCCCCTCCTCGTTCTGGGTGAACCACTTGGGAGTCGTCGTCGATGCCTGCTTCATAATAAAACAACCCAGCGGCGGTAAAATCTCACTCATCTTCACCTCGAAAATCTTGGGGACCGTGACCACGCACGTTGTCTCGGCCTCATATGCGATAGCACCCCGCGTACGCACGATCTGAGCCGCCGCCGCATCTCCCAACACCACCGTCGGCATAGCCTGAGGCTGGTTGTAAATCTGATGATAGAGCGACTCATCAGTCATCTCCTGCACTACCGTGATGCGGAAGCTCACGAGGGACAACTTCTCGTGCTGCACCGCCTCGTCGTCTTTGATGGCCGCGTCGAGGCCCGCTCTGCGAGGGGCGAGCTCTCCGTGATATACGATGCGGGCCTTCATCTTCTTCGGGCCTTTCGGCCCATGGAAGAGTACATGATCTTCACCTGATGCATCCAGAACCACATGCGTGATGTCCGTCCTGTTGCCGCGCGCCCTTCTCACCTGCTCCGCTGCCGTATACCCCGCCTCCGTCGAGGAGAAGATGATCAGCGGATCCGTGATCGTCTCGAGCTTGGAGCGGGCCTGGCCCGCGGCTACCAGGGCCGCAGGCAGTCCCCCAGGGTTCCGCAACCATTCGCTCCGTAGTAGTAGTAGTAGTAGTAGTAGTAGTAGTAGTAGTAGTCGTCGCCTCCTCCAGCGGGCTGTCAGGTTTGGCCGCGCTGAAAGTGGCGATGAGCTCCCTCAGCTTGTTGCAGACCACCGTCGTCGTGATGGCCTGCCTCTGAGCGCCTGTGGCGGTGTCCACGTAGCCGATGAGGCTCCGCAAGCGCTCGACAATCTGGATGTCCGTGTGCTTGACCTTCTTCTTCTTGGGCTTGGCCTTGGGCGTGACGGGCGAGGTCGCCTGCCACGCCGTCGCAGGGGGCTCCTGCGGCAGCCCGATGTGCTGTTGGATCGCACTCACATCCCTCGCCAGACCCTGGAGAACTGTGGCTTGATCCGATCGGCGTGTCGTCTTCTTTGCACCACCTTTGCCGCCTCCCCCGGGGAGAGGGTCGGCTGGCAGCACACTCCCTGTAGTCAACGGGCCCCTGCTTGTGGAGTTCGCACAAGCCGCCACCCAACTCATAGTATGGCTTCTTCCGTCATACTCGTCCTCCAACGTGAGCCTCGAGGATAAGCAGTCTCGCTCTGGAAAATCACAAAATTGAGCGCTGTGGAATACATGATCATACTGATCAAAAGCGTGGTGTACATGATCTCGCAGATCAAGCTCCTGACGATCTTCGGTACCTGCCCAGACCCCAGGGTAGTACTTCACATCGCAGGGCTCCCAGTCGAAGTACTCGTGTACCTCATCCCCAACAAAACTCGTGACCTCGTCACCGCCCACGCAGCAAGCAGTCGAAGACGCACGGGTCGTCCGCCATCTCCACCGCCTTCGCCACAGCACCCTCCCGAGGAAGAGCACCGTGCCCGCCAACGCCATGACCATGCCGAAGCGGTCTGGGGGCTGCTGCTCGTTGGCCTGGTTGTAGGTGAGCGCGCTGGTCGTCAGCAGCGTGCCCACGTTTGCCCTCGACCTCCTGCCAGGAGGAAGATCCGCAGTGTCGTAATGGCGCTTGCGCTTGCCGAGCACATCTGCCCTCGTAGAAAAGATGGGCGGCCCCGCTGAGCTCGAGCCGCAGCGCGTTGCGACGGAGAGACATCTCGGATGATGGATCGATGGGCGGACGCGCCCTCCTGCAGCGGAGGGCAGACGATGTCGGGGAAGGTTTTTTCTGTCCAGGGGCACGGCGCCAGCGAACTCGCCATCCGGGGCGGCAGGAAGCTGCGCGAAAAAACTCTACGAGCGCATGCAGTACGCATGCGTGCACTGCAAGCCTTCACTTGCATGCTCTGTCCCTCCTCGTCGTTCTGCTGCCCCCCCCCTCGTCGTCGTCGTCGTCGTCGTCGTCGTCCTCCTTCTCTCCTCCTGACCCTCGCTCGCCCAAACCGCGCGCGCCCGTGGCGCCGCGGCCTTTGCCGGGGCCTCGCGATTAATCAAGCAGCTCGGAGTGCTTGCGCTTGCAGGCCTTCGACCCTGCAAGGTGGCGCTCGAGCATCTCCTTCGCCCCAGTAATCTTCTTCTGGAGAGGGGCCGCATCTTTCGCATCCATGGCCTGCGCCCCCTCGGCCGCGCATATGCTGCAGTGGCGCTCGCCAGAGAAATTGCCCGGAACATTGATGCTGCCATCGATCTCCTTCGCGCACTCCGACCGCGGCTTCTTCTTGTCATCCTCTTTGGCAGCCTTGTTCTTCGCCGAAAGCTGGCTCTTGCACTCGCGCAGATTCGCCTGGATATTCTGCAGCTGAGCCGAGTCAGTCCTCGCCGGCTGAAAGGAGGAGAGGAGCGAATGGGGGGGGGGCGGATGGGGGCAAAATGAACGAGCGGACAGGGAGGAAAGAAGCGGAAAAGGGGGGAGAGGAGCGACCCCCCCCCCGCGGTCTCGAGGGTCTTCGCGGCATCCTTGATCTCGGGAACGAGCGGGCGTTCGTCCTTGACCTGCACTTTGCCGCCGGAAGCCGCGGCTGGTAGTCCTGACGGTGCGCCCATGGAGTCGCGCGCCTTCAAAAGCTCCGCGCAGTTCTTCACGTCTGGGCTGCCATGGATCGTCTTTCTCTGCTTCTGCGCCCAGGTCTTCTTGCGCCCTTCATCGTCGACGAAAAAATACCTACTCAACTCTTCATTCGTAGCATGAATTGCGGGTGTGTGCTCATCTTTGGCGTCAAACTCTCTCGCGTTCTCTTCGCATTAATCATCTGCGAACTTGAAGGCGTCAAATCGGGATGCAAAGTCGGAAATGGAGTCGCCCCTGCACTTCAGGATCTGCGCTGGGATGAGATGCGGGCCCCTCCTTGAATACTCATCTTCTTGAACAATCCCACGCTCTTGCTCGAAACAAACTGCGAACTTCAAAGAATCAGCTGCCCTGCCTCGGCCGTTATCTTCCCGCATCTTCAAGAAGCGCTGCTTTTCCTCTGGGTTGACGAAACCTGACCATGCGTCCCGGCACTCCTCGGCGGCCGTCTTCTTCTCCTCGCCCGAGGCCTTGTCGCTGGACTGGAACCGCACACTCGAAACATCCGATTGAGCGCTCCGTGGTCAAGGGCCCCCATCGGGCGTCGCATTCGCCTTCTTCTTCGGGGCGCAGACCGCGATGGAGGCGGCGACCCCCGCCGCTGGCGCGCAGAGAGAGAGAGAGAGAGAGAGAGAGAGAGAGAGAGAGAGAGAGACGCGACTTGCGAGCCAGAAGGTGCATCGTTGACCACGAACAAGCAGCAGATCGATATCAATGGACACCAACCATCAGAAACGATGAGCCTATGAGCCGAAAGAAGATGCAAATGCCAAGAGACATGCCCGCGGTTCTGGATCACTTCAGGCATGCAATTGCTTCTCCCGCCCGCCCCCACCCCCCCGCCCCCCTCCCCCCTCATCCCTCCCCCCGCCCCCCTGTGCAGGGGGGCAGACGATGCCGCCGCTGGCGGTGTTTGTTTGTTTTGTGTTTGTTTTGTTTTTGCATTTTCTACCGGGCGATTGCGGCGAGCTCGCCGCTCGGTCTACGGTTGCGCCGTCGCGCGACAAAGCTTTGCGAGCGTAGCGCACGTGCGGGGAACTGAAACCACGTCATAGCTGCTCTGCATTGCAGTGCAATAGATGTCACGAGGTGCGGATGGAGATTGCGCCGCGAGCGCCGAACGGCACCAGCGCCGCCCGCTTGGCGGTTGGATGGCTCGCCGGCTGCAACTGCGAAGGAAATGATGTTGGGGCGGCATTTGAAGCGCGCGCTACGCGCGCGTGCGATATAGCTTCGCCTGCCTGAGCACCTGCCGCCGCCGACGCCGCCGCGTACGCATGTCGCGCGCGCGTCGCTCGCGCCGCGCTATGGGCACGTGCGCGGCGTGCGCGCGTGGGTGAAGATTGGCGCGCGTAGTATGCTTGCGTGGTAATATATGTTTACGCATGACAGAGATGTGTACGCATGACACGCATATGATGTATACATATACACATTTATGCACATATAACAACAGCGCTGCTACATTGTTCTGAACCCAGATGCGTTGCGAGAGCGTGTCCACAGATGCCCACTGGGAGCTGACGCGACATTGAATGGTGCCGGCAACGAGGGCACAACGACAAGAACCGAGTCGCAAAAAAAACACTTTGCGCACGCAACAAGTTTTCGACGGAAAACTGCCCGACCAATTTGTTGAGAAAACTGACTGGCACAAACAATGGCACCGTTTTTTCCTATAGAAAGCTTGAAAAAAGATCACATCGGCTTGCGAAAAAGAAAAAGAAAAAAGCTACATTTGTGGATCAGGATCCCGCCAAACACTCATGGGCTCCAAGGTGGCCCCTTTTCAGGTTCCAGATGGGCATCATTGCCCCGATGGTTCCAAGACGGCACCCTCAGGTCCCGTGGCCCCAATGGGCCCCAACATTGGCATGAATGTCCTGATGGGTGCCCGTCGGGTTGGCCAAAGGCGCGGCCGTGCACTGCGACTTCCCGCCCCTTGCGCTGCTCGATGGCCTGCCACCGCCTGGGGCGCCCCCCGGCACAGGAGGGGCGCCCCTTCACAGGATTGCATCAAGGGGGAACTTAAATTCAATTACATTGCCTGGAACTGCCCATCGATCGCGGATCGAACCCACTAGGCCCCGCGCCCCGCCCTGTTCTTGCCCTCGTTTTTCTTCCTCGCGCCCTGCGTCTGGAGGGGAAGCCCGCGAAGCCCGAAGGCGTCGCTGTGGCGGCGGTTTGCGCTGCCGCAGTTTTGGCGCTTCAGCGAGAAGCGAGGGCCCGCGCCGATGCAATTGTTCTCGCGGCAGCGCCTGCACCTTGTCGGCGGGCGGCGCAGGCGCATGCCGAAGGGTGCCTCGCGCGCGCCTTTGGGGCCCCCCTCCTTCTCCCCAGGCCTCCTTAATCCTCGCTCGAGAGCAGGGTGGCCTCGCCCTTCGCGCTGCCCCCGTGCCTGCGGTCGCCGCCGCCCCCAGGAGGGCCGCCGGGCGGGCCCCCTCCTCCTCCTCCTCCGACGGGCGCCGCGTGCAGGCCGACGCCCATCGCCTGGCGCCCGCCCCTCCCCCCTCCCCCCCCCCCCCTCCCCCCCCGTTGCCCCCCCCCCCCACCACCGCCACCCCACCGCCCATTCCCCCCCCCGCCCGCCCCCTGCGCGCGCCCCCCCCCCCCCTTTTCTGCGCGCGCTGCTCATTCCCCCCCCCCCCATGCCCTGCCGATGTCGCCTTGCTGCGGAGGGCCCGCAGCAGCGCCACGAGCGCGCGCGCTGGGGCCGTGGCCGATGCGAGAAGCGCCCCTAGCGCGGCCAGCGCCCTCGAAGCCTGTCGATCGGTGATTGCCCCATTGTGCTTACGAGCAGGGTTAGTTTCTCTCTCTCTCTCTCTCTCTCTCTCTCTCTCTCTCTCTCTCTCTCTCTCTCTCTCTCTCCTTTCTCTATCTCTCTCTCTCTCTCTCTCTCTCACTCTCTCTCTCTCTCTCTCTCTCTCTCTCTCTCTCTCTCTCTCTCTCTCTCTCCTCTCTCTCCATATCTCTCTCCATCTCTCTCTCCATATCTCTCCATCTCTCTCTCTCTCTCTCTCTCTCTCTCTCTCTCTCTCTCTCTCTCTCTCCCCCCCCCCCTTTCTCTCTCATGCCCTTTGTCTTTCTCTGTGTGTCTGTTTCTCTCTCTATATGTATGTATATATAATATATATCCATATCTCTCTCCATATCTCCCCATATATATCTCCATATCTCTCTCTCTCTCTCTCTTTCTCTCTCTCTCTCTCTCTCTCTCTCTCTCCCATCATAGTTGTCTTTCTCTCTCGTGTTGTTTGTTTTATATTTCTCCCTCTCTCTCCATATATATATATATATACCCATCTCTCCAAATATCTCTCCATCTCTCTCTCCATCTCCCCCTCTCTCTGTCATTATATTTGTCGTTATCTGTTTTTGTGTTGTTTTCTGTGTTCTCTCTCTCTCTCTCTCTCTCTCTCTCTCTCTCTCTCTCTCTCTCTCTCTCTCTTTCTCCCTCTTTCCCTCTCCCCCTCCCTCCCTCTTCCCTGGGCCCCCCCTCTCAACCCCATCATCGCCCTCCTGCGCAGGAGGGGGGGGGGGGGGCGCGCGGTCGCAGCGCTTCCGTTGAACGCCGAACTGAACGAACTGCTGATTGAACACCGAGCTGATACGAATTGAATTAGAATATACCCGAATTGGATATCTCGTTCAACATGCCGAATGGTATATATATATACACATATGTATATGTATATATACATATTTTTATATATATATATATATATATGTTGCGTGTGTCCGTATCAGGCAATGTGCGCGTGCGCGTGCGTGCGTGCGTGCAGATGCGTGTGCGTGTGTGTGTGTGTGTGTGTGCGTCTGTGTGTTTGCGTGTGCGCGTGTGTTTGTGCGTGCGCGCGCGACGCTTGAACGGTCGCCGTCGCCGTCGCCGACGGACGCTCGTCGCCGCCCCGCCGCCGCCGAGCCTCGCCTGTATGATGCGCATACGCATGTATACATGCACGCATAAATGCCGCCCCCGGGAACTGGGCCCGCTCGCAGTCAGTCGGCCCGCCGCGCCCACCGCCGCGCAGGAGCGGCGCCGGCATCGCTTCCACTCCAAAGAGCCTGAGCGGAAACCTCACAAAGACTCCAAGATCTCCTTGCCCTTCCGCTCGCAGGCGGCTCGGTCGAAGCCAGAGAACCACTCGCCCAGCCCAGGGGGCACCGGGCACTTCCGAATATTTGTTTGGCTCGTGCGTTTAACTGCGCGTTTCCCGATTGGCGGAGGTCCGCGCAGGCGGCGGCAGTTTCTTGTCGCGCAGCAACTTCACGAGCTTCTCCGCTGCATCCATCTTCTTGGCCTGGCTGCACTTGTCCGTCTTGCAGCCGATAGCGCGCGCCTGGCGCCCGTTGCCGAACGCTTGCCTCGCGGCGCTCTGTTGCGAATTCTTGGCCCGCGTCGCAGTGCGCTTCCGAGCCAGGGCCGTCGCTGCCGCGGGCTGGAGCATGACAGCGGGCCCCCCCTCCTCCGCCTCCTCCTCCTCGTCGACCTCGTCGGGCTCGCGCCCCCCCCCCCCCCCCCCCTCGCCGTCGTCATCCTGAGCGCGGGAGAGCACCTCCATGCGCCGAGCCCCCAGGGCAACTGCAGGCTTCTTCACCGTCTTCATCGCCGTGGCGGGCCTCTTGAGCGGCAAGCCCTTGCCCTGCGGCTTCTTCTTCAGCCACATTTCGCACACGACGTTCGGCGCCTCCGTCTCCTCCTTGTCGTCGCCGACGGTGGCCGCGCACATGCCGTCGGGCCCTGGCTCCATCTGAGACTCCGTGGTCGTCGCGCCGCGCTGCCCTATCAGGAGCATGCGCTTGTAGCCGACGGAGGAGATCTCGAGCTTCTTTTTCGCGAGCTGGTCGCTCTTCTCCATGTCGCCCCTCTTGATCACGATCGGGGGTCGGCGGCAGCACAGGCGGCTCGCGGCGACGAGCCGACGCTGATGGTGTCGCTGATCTGTCGCTGCAAGAGTTTCTTCCGTGGGCCCAGAGGGATGCCCGTGGGAGGCTTCGCGCCGTGCGCCTTTTAGATCGACCACGGGCTCATCGTGGAAGCGCTGGCCGAGGCAGAGGTGCTGGCAGCTCGCGCAGGGGATCTGCTCCTAGGGCTGCGGCTTGGGGCCCTCGTCGCCCCCTTCCCGCCGCTGCCTGGCCCCGTCCTTCCAATCGAGCCAACCTGCTGCACTGCGGAGTGCAACTTCGATCCGTATGTGGCGTTTCTGAAATTCCTGAAGACGTGCGAGAGCGCAGCCGAAATCTCTCTCGCATACATTCGCGCGTCATCGCTGGGCACGCCGAGCACGTTGATGCTCGCATCTCGTACTTGAGGCTCAGAAATCCGCTTGGTGAGCTGAATGGCGCCGCCCAAGAACGCCATGCTGTTGGCGACCAAGTCGTCAATGTCATATTGGTATGTTCTCATCGCCAATATCTCCTTCTGGCATGACTTCACCAAACTGTCCATGCTCTCCACAGAAGCCGTGTTCTTCACCCGCTCCTCGGTCATGAAAAACGGTATCGGATGCAATGGTGAAGCGATTGAACCAAAACGGGTTCGGATCGCGCGAGCCCCTTTTTGCGCCCTCCTCCTTCGTCTGTTCCCTCCTGCACAGGATGTATGACAGGCCCGAACCGAGCGATGTTGCGAACTTATAGCCACATGTTGGAAATGCCTGTCAGCTCCAATCAAGAAACAACTGTCAGCGCTAATTACCTAAGGACTGGGAACCAACAGATGGAGGGTTTTGAGCTTTTCGCAGTGGTTCTCAAATCCGCCATGTTGCCATTACTTCCGAGGCCCCGCCAGTGCTTATTTAATTTCACATGCGCCCCCTCAAGCGTTTGTGTGTTTGTTCCGTGTCTGTTCGACGCGTGGTATTGTCATGCGCTTGCTCGGCGTTGAAATGTTGTGCTCGTTATGTTTTTCGAGAGGGGGGGTCATTTTGCGAGCCGTCAATCCTGCGACCCTCCCATTGGTTCTTCCCTTTCCCTGGCCCCATCCCACCGTCCTCCCCTCCCTCCTCTTCTCTTTCCTTCCCCCCCTGCCCCCCCCCTTCCTTCCCCGTCGCCCCTCGCCCCTTCCGCCCCCTTCCCCTTCCACTCTCTTCTTCCCCCTCTTTCCCCGTCCGCCCATTTTTCTACCCTATTCCCTCTCCGATTAACTCCTCTCCTCCGCCGCCCCCCCCCTTCTTGCCCCCCCTCCTTCTTCGGCTCTGGCCGGGGCCCGCGCGCGACCTGCAGCGGCTGCGGGGGCAGCGTCGGGGGGGGGGCCGCGAGTGGCCCGATTTTGGCGGCGCGGCAACTTCTGATTTCCGCGGGAAATCAGGCGTTGTCCGTGGCTGAAATCGGGCTACTCGTCGCCTCCTTGGCTGGGGAGGCGGCGCGCTGCGATGGCGCACCTGGCCCCGTGGCTGTCAGTGTGCGCCAAGTTCATCGCCTCGTCGGCGGTGGACTTGGAGGCCAGCGGCTCGATCGTCGATTATCGGATCGTCGGTCTTCCATCCCCCGTCCCTTCGCCAATTGAAGAGCGTGGGGCGGTGGGTGGAAGGTCGATGGATCGATGGGTCGATGATCGATTATAATAGACCCCCGATCCCCGATCTCCTCGACCATCGTTCCCCCCTCGGAGACCTCTCGCCCCTAGGGCGGCGACCCTCAATCCAGGGCGCCTGGGCCCTCGAATCGCGGAGGTTTGATTTGAGGATCGACGAAACCTCCGCGATTCGAGGGCCCAGGATGCAGAGGGTCGACGTTCGAGGGGCGAGGGCCGAGACTCGCGGGTCGAGGGTGGGGGGCTCGAGGGCCGGTGGCCGCCTGCCCCCGCCGCAGGAGCCCATCGTCGTGTGCTGCCCGTGCGCTGGCCTCGAGACGCCAGTCGCGGCGCTCAAGGCCATGGGCTTCACCAACGTGACGACGGCGGGCTCCTGGGAGCTCAACGCCAAGCTGCTGCCCGCAGCGCTGAGCGTCCACGACGGGCGCGGCGAAGGATTGATCGCGCGCTGGGGGGGGGGGGGGGGACGGAGGAGCAGGGGGGGGGGAGGGGGCGGGAGGGAAGGGGGGGGGGAAGGAGGGGGCGGAGGAGAGAAGGGGGGGTGGCGCGCGGGCTGCCCGCCCCACCCTCCCTGGGCGCCCCGCCCCCGCCCGTGTTCGGGGGCCCGAGACGGGTGTCAGTGCAAACGGGGGTCAGCCAGGGCGCCAGATCCTGCAGGATCCCGCGAAGACCCCCTCTGGCTGAGCCGGGTTAGCGAGCCGCTCGTGGCCGCGAGGTGGCCGCGCCGACTGGCTGACCTGGGTTTGCGAAGACTCGCGTTGCAGTTTTTTCTTGCGTTGCAGTTTGTTCGCGAGGACTGCGCTACGGCGCTGAGCAGGGCAACTTCATGAAAGTTGACTTCGCCGCGCCCGAGCTTCTGCAGGTCCAGTGCATGATCTGTGGAGAGCAGGGGGGCGAAGATGTGGTCCAACTCTACTCTTCCACCTCTGAGGTGGAAGTGTAGAGCTCAGGGTCAACGATAGGTGGGGCGAGGATAGGCGTAGGGGGGGTGCGTCGACGCACAATCGCAAATTGATCGCCGACGGGGCCGATAGCCCCAGCTGTCCAGGAAGTTGCGGTTTCGCTATCGGGGACCTATCGGCGATGCATCGCCGAATCCAGGTCGACGAATGGGAGCTCGACATTATTTATGTCTTGGGCGTGGCCCCTCAGTGCGATGAAAAAAAAACTCACGAGTGGAGGGGTGAGGGGGATTTGGGGATTTGGGGGGGGAAGGGAGTGGAGTGGAGGGGTGTGGGGAGGGGGGCGCAGGAGGGGAGGAGTGGAGGAATGGTGAGTAATATGATGATGACGTTAGTGATCATGATGATGGGGTGGAGGAGTGAAGATTTCGATGACCGCGACCCGCGAGGGTCAACGGGGAAGGGCAGGAGTCCTGCCCTGCCCCGTGGACCCTCGCAGGAGCCCCGTGCCCGCCCTTCTCGCGCACGGGCCTCAAGAAGGGCTGGGACGACGTCAGGACCACGCCGTTCTGGCACGCCCTCGAGGGCGCAGTTGCGCTGGCTCGCAACCCCCACAGCCAGCTGGAGCACTGCGTCTTCGAGCAGGTGAAGAGCATCATGGACCCCCGCGGGAGGGGGGCGTAGTAAACGCCAGGGAGCTGGATGCGCGCGATGCGCCAGCCTGGGCGAGAGTTGGATGCACATATTGGCCAGATGCCATTCCAGGCATCGGCCCCCCCCATGGCCAGGCGCGGCGGCCATGGCCCTCCGCGCGCGCGTCCGCGTATCCAGCGGATGGCCCCCCATATGATCCACGCGTGAATCCAGCCGCGCGCGCTTCCTGCCCCCTGACAGTGCAACGCCGTCAGTGGGCGGGAAGCGCGGTCGCGAGATTGGGGGCGCTGGAACATTGTCGCAATGCTCCAGCGTTCCCCAATCTCGCCAAGCACCCGCCTCGCCCAGGACGTCCCGGGCGGCAGGGCGAAGTCGGAGAAGATCATCAGGGACATGATGAAGGCGCGCGGGCCGATCGCCGCTCGCTCTCCCCCAGGGCCGCCCCCTCTTTCTGGAGACCCTCTTGTTCCGCCCCCCGCTCGTCCACTCTCGGCCCGCTCGAAGGGGCTCCCCGTGGAGACGCAGCCCAACGTGTGCTGCTGGGACAAGGTCGAGGACTTCTTGCTCGAGAACCTGCCGCCGCACTGGCGCATGACGTGGCACGTGGACCGCTGTTTTGGGGTCGGGGTCGTCGTCGCGAGTCGTCGCATCGTGGGCCGCTGTTTTGGCGCGTGGACCACGTCGCCGTGGCCGTCGTCACTTCGTCACTGTGGCGACGGCCACGGCGACGACTCGTCACATCGTCTACCCAGGGTGGACGATGTGACCGTCCCCCGTCGTCGTCTTCGCGGCCAGCGGCGACGGCCGCGGCGGCGACGACGACGGCGACGCCGTCGCTAACGATGGGTAGGAGGGGGGCGGGGGGCAGGTGATGGGGGCAGAGGGGGCAGGGGGCTCGAGGGCTTTAGAGGGGCGGGGCCAGGGGGCCAGGGGCCATCAATGACGGGGCCGCACCTCTACAGGATCGGACAGGGCATGGGCACGATGGCAAGATGGGGGCTCGGCCCGAGCCCCCATCTTGCCATCGTGCCCATGGCTCGGGGGCGCGCGGGGGCTCGACGAGCTCGATGGGGGCTCGGGCCGCTCCGAGGTCGTAGTCGTCGGCAGCGGCCCCGGGCCGACGGGGCCGAGCCCAGGGCGGGCGGCGGGGGGGGGGCCCGGGGAGAGCGGGCCGCCGATGCAAACATTGGCCGCCCGCAGCTGGACGCTGACATCTTCGGGGCGGCGCAGCACCGCGAGCGGCTCTACGTGGTGCTCTCCAACACGCTGCGCGAGGCCGACGCCGACAAAGCCACCGCCGTCGACCCGCGCGCCTTCGCCATCGATCACAAGCCCGATTTCTGGAGAGACATCTTCGACGGGAGCGCAGGGGCGGCGGGGCGGGAGAGTCGGCGAAAGACTTCGCGGAGAGAGGTATATATATATATATATATAGGGAGAGAGAGAGAGAGAGAGAGAGAGAAAAGAGAGATAGAGAGAGAGAGAGAGAGAGAGAGAGCGAGAGAGGGAAAGAGAGAGCGAGAGAGATAGAGAGAGAGAGAGAGAGAGAGAGAGAGAGAAGCGAGGCAGATAGAGAGAGAGAGAGAGAGGAAACACCAGAGAAATTGACATGTAATATTATACAGGGAAACAGCAAAGAAAGAGAAGAGAAGAGAAGAGAAGAGAAGAGAAGAGAAGAGAAGAGAAGATAAGAGAAGAGAGACAGAGAGAGAGAGAGAGAGGAACGATAGAGAAATATATAGAGAGAGAGAGAGAGCGAAGGAGAGAGAGAGAGAGAGCAAAAAAAAAGGGATACATGATATTGAGAGGGCGATCGCGGCGAGAGCTGGGGCAGGCAGACAGGCAGACGCACAATCTACACTGTGCGTCTGTCTTGTCTGCCTGGCTATGTGTGGCACGTGCGTAGATCCAGACATCCATCCGCGCCGCGTGCGCAGGAGCGTGCCGTACCGCCAGAACCCCGACCTCCCTGGGGTGATGACGGACAAGCAGAAGTCCAACCTGAAGAAATACATGGTGGTCCTGAAGGCGAACGTCACGGCGGTCCACCCCAGCATGGAGTTTGTTATCATTGACATCTGCAGGGACCCCGACAAGGACTCATACGGCGCCACGATGTGCTTCAACAAGAGCCCCACGCTTACGACCAAGAACAAGTGCCCCAATCAAACCATCGGACCTGCACCGACTTTGAGTTCAAGCCTCAGTCCGCGACCCGATTTTCGAGGGCCCCATTGGGCCATCGACGTCGGGGCCCCGGGGCCCAGGCAGGGGGCGCGATGGCCCGACGAGGAGGGGGGTAGAGGAGAGAGTGAGGGAGAGAGAGAGAGAGAGAGAGAGGGGGAGGGAGAGGGCGAGAGAGAGAGAGAGACGCACAGAGAGTGACAGGGATACATATAT